AGACCAAATACTAACAATCAGTTCCAGTTACCTAGAAGAACTTAGAGCTTCGCCCTTTCCATATTTCATTTGTGCAGAGGGAATAATGCATTTAATATTAAAAGTTCATATTTTTTTGATATGGTCCAACTTCCGAATAAAATTAAGGAAATAAAAATGATTTTTTTAATAGCAATATATGAATTTTACTAAACAATCCATCACCTATTCATTAAAAGTAGTTCTGATTAGGTATATATTATTTTATCTTATAAAACAGATATTAATATGACTCATTTCCGGAGAAGAATATACAATTTAAATTACCTTTAAGAATCAGTAAATATAGAAAACAAAATGTTAAATTGCAAATATTAAATAAAAAATTCAAGATATTCTGCAAAGTATTTTTGAATTAAGTTTTATTATTATAATTATATAATTTTTATAATATAGGCCTTCTTTAGCGACCTCCGTATAGAATAAAGGAAGTTAAATTTAAAAAAATTAATGATAATAAATAAAAAAAAATAATAAATTAAAAAAAAAAATTTGACAATTAAATTATTGTATTAATGTTTTTTCGTTAATATAATCAATATAATATAACAAAAACGTTGATATAGCATTATAACTAAGCCATTTATGAGTACTGAGTGGTGTGGTAGAGGCCTGAAGGCACCTACGCCAGTAGCGCTTTTCTGCTGCTTAAGTACATTTTCTGCGGAACTGCTTTAAATATTTTAAAAAGTAATAAGTATTTTAGAAAGAGAAATGTATTCTCCAGATGTTTTATTTCAGCACGTTTTGCATTATTGTTGACCGTTTAATTACAAACGACGCCTGCTTTTCAACTTGAAAATTTTTTTGAAAAAAAAATTGACTTTACCGATTTTTTTTTTATGCCTAAGCCTATTAGTTTTTAATATTTTTTCATATTTTATTATTCTCTAACTATCCAGCTTTAATAAAAGACCAACTATGATGAAATGAAGCCAAATACTGATTCTCAGTAACAAAAAAACGTCAAAGTCGTCAATCCGCCATGTTTGGACGCCCTTTTGTCGCCTTCACTTTTTTTTGTGGGAACATTGGCTTTTTTTTTAATAAATTGTCACAAGGAACACAACGATATGCAATTTATAGGGATGTGGGGGGAGGGAGTAGGGGAGGGGGTGCACGGTAAGGGGGTCTGGCCCACAGACTACCGCTGCCTTTCCAGTTCTAAGTGAAACTCGTAGAGGAACACGCCTGTAAGTCTCTAATTTTAATTTTTTTTTCTCCTGTAGAATTTGTAGAATTATACTCACATTTTCATTTGTTATATATTACACTACAACAATTGTTAGCATCTATTTACTTTATTTTAGGATCTTGTTACTCAGCTTACTTAGTCCATATTTTATTGTACTTACTGTATATAATTCTAATAAGCTTATTCACTTTGTTTATAAATTATGTCTAAATATTATGTAATTGCCACATTTCTCTATCTTTTTGTATCTTGTCCGTTCTAGCCCTGATTGCTTAGAACAAATCTTTCTTGCTGATGAAATGGTCTTCACCATAATAAACCTGCTTAATATCATCCAAACTGATCAAGCATTTTTACCCCCATTTAGCAGAATCTTGAAATATTCTGTTCATTTGTCTACTATATATTCGTTTGGCCATATAACGGATGCTGATCCTTGTTTTCTTTTCCGAAATTTTGGCACTTCCTTTGTCGTTCGCTTAATTTATTTTTCCAATGTTTGGGTTCAATTTCGCGTTTTCCCTCATTTTGAGACCAAATACTAACAATCAGTTCCAGTTACCTAGAAGAACTTAGAGCTTCGCCCTTTCCATATTTCATCTTTTTGTATCTTGTCCGTTCTAGCCCTGATGAAGACCTGTAAAGTCGGGTCGAAACGTTGACTTTCAATAAAATAGTTTTACCACTATTTATCCTTTTTATGATCGCAACCCCGGACCATCTCCTTCCCTTATAAAATATTAATGTGTCTATATTTTATACTTGATTATGATTCAAAAAACTTTAGACTAATAGTGTCATATTGTCTCGAAATAGAAACCAAAATTTTTCTCTTAATATAAATATTTTAAAGTTTGAAAACGAAATTGTTTAAATATTCTGAATTTTGAAAGATTCCTTACACAAAACCTTTTTTTTTCTGGGTAAAAGGATAGAAATACCTATTAGAACAGGTCATCTTTTCCCTTACCTTTCTCCCTCCCAAACAGTACCTGTCATAAACCAAAATTGCAATTCCTAAAATTGGTATGGCTTTACCTGCTACACATTTAACAGGTCAAAACTGTCAACCTTCGATCCTTTGAAACATATTCAATTGAAATAGAACTTTCCTTTCCTAATCACATCATTTAGGATCGAAATGGCGGAATTTCGGTTCGTAACAGATCGAATGGTAAAATCCAATTGAACTCTCCACGCATAAAATTACAGAAAACCTAATTACAGAAATATCTTCTATCTCATTTTTTCTTCTATAGTCTCTATTTCCAAACTACCGCATTTCCAGCATGCCGTATCCAGGCCCGTGCGCTTCTTTGATTACACGATAAAATTTTAAAAACTAATTAAAAATAAGAAATTTAGCAAATTACTCACACCTGCGGTTACTACAATATACAATAGTGCATGTTTTTCTCTCTTAGGGAGTTCATTACAGAGCTGAAGTATCATTTATACAACAATATACTTTTTTTTCATTACCAGCCATGGCCCGCGGACTTGTGTGAAGTCCTCAATCCGGCGCCCCCCGAATTTAATGGAAGCCACAATGTGGTCGTGGGCCAAAATGTTAGGAGACTCCTGGTCTAGCATATCGTCCTCTACAAGTATATTTCGATATTTCAAACCTATATTTATTTCAAAATATAATTATTTCATTTTATTTACTTCTGAACATAATTGTTTCAAACTTATACATTTTATTCAATCTTCATCAATGTAAACCGACAAACGCTGTTTGTTGTTCATAGGATTCGAAATAAGAAAGCATAAGGATAAAGTTTTCTTTCTTTCTTAGAATTAATACTTTTGTACATAAAAATTAAGTTTCTAAAATTAGATTATGCGTAAAAACTGAGAAAATTTACATTTAAATCACAGGTCATTCCAGAGTGATCTTCGAACTCGACATTATCCACCACGTTGTTTCAAAACGAAAGATTTCATATTGTTATATCAAGGTCATTTGTGAAGAAAGAAAAATGTAATATGTTTGGTAATAATTATACTAAAGCCTTAAAACAAAACGAAATATTTAAATCTAAATACATGGGCATTTATTAATATCTTTAATCAGAGAATCTCATATATGTTATCTAGCGTTCAACTCCCTAAAATTGTGAACAAAATCGGGTGCCACGTGCACGTTAGCGAATGTGGTTTGGTGACTAAGGTGATCACGGGCGGATCTACGGGGGAGGGGCTTTCGGGCTGAAGCCCCCCCCAAAAATGGTAAAATATAACTATGTTTTATGGGAAAATATATTAAAAAATTATCTCTTAAAGTATTATTATTGGTGTAATTACATTTAAAAGGACTTAAGGAATCACTTAAACCCCATTTCATATAGACAGCTCGTTTCTTTCTTTTTTTCCAAGGTAATTATCGCCATTTTTATGAAAAAAAAAGCTTTCGGGCTGAAGCCCCCTCCCCCCCCAAAAAAAAAAATTGAATCCTGGATCCGCTAGTGAAGGTGATCAAACTACCTAAAACGAATTTTTTTTATATGTATATTGAAACTATACATGTATTTAGATTTGCCGTAAATGCAAAGAAACCGGTTATCCATTCTATTTGAGTTTAATCTTATACCAAGTTTAATTGAATTATTATTAATTATTTTGACTCCTAGAGCATAGGGCATTTTTTTTTCTGTTCTTCCCTACCTTGACTTTTAGGCTATACGAGATTTTCGCTGAGGGCGAGGGCTGGGAAATATATCAGCTACACATTTATAGATGGTTATTTACTATATTATGTTTCACAACCAGATCTACCGGAGGGGAGAGGGCTTTCGGCCTGAAGCCCCCTCCTCCCCAAAATGGTAAATTATAACCATATCTCACGAAAATATTATTAAAAAATTATCTCAGCAAGTATTATTGTTCGTGAAATTACATTTAATGGGACTTCAAGAATCACTTAAACACCATTTCATGCAGTTGGTTGGAATCTTTCTTCTTCTTCAAAAGTAATAATCGTTATAAATATACATATATTTTTTCCGGTTCAATATACAGACCTTGCAGATTTTTGGCCGCCTAAACCAGCCTTCTCCACCTCTGCCTATCTTGGTCTACTGCTTTCCAGTTTGCGGCATGAAGATCAGCCGTATCTTTGTTTATCCTATCTATCCATCTGGTTTTTGGCCTTCCACGTGGTCTCCTGCTTACTCATATATATATATTTCAAGGCCTTCGGGTTGAAGCACGGGGGATGCTCTCTTCTCCCCTCAAAAAAAAAATAAAATAAATCCTGGCTACGCTAGTGCTATGCTAGAATTATTGTTTCTTGTTTTGTATTGAAATGTCTAAACATACCATAAGATGCGCTTAGAAATTTCACAAACTACGGGACAATCAAATATACAAATAGTTATTGACAATGCTATGCTAGAATTATTGTTTCTTGTTTTTAATATTTTCCATTTGCTGACGGTATCAAGATAAATAAAATAAATAGATTGGATTAGCAATAATGTCGCTGTTAGTTAAGTTAGCTAATTGTGTTTCCCATTTGCATTAATTGCATAAAGCATCTCTATGTTTATTTTGTCTAGATTTGAAAAAGAACCTCCTGACATATTTTAGTAGATTTTAAAAATAGATAAAATCTGCTTTGAATTTAGAAAAGCATTGATTTATGTTAATTGCCGAGAACCGTTTTATTAATCCTGAAAATAGGATATAGTTTTCTTCAAAAAAAAATATTGTTATAATCAAGTGGGCTAGAAAGGCCAGCTGATAACTACCGCTTCAATGGAGGGGATAACTTTAAACATGGAGTGTTACTTCTCTGGGAAGGTGGTCAGTTGAACTCGTAGTGTTAGGTTGTTTATAGGGTTACTCGGTTTAACAGTTGCGCTTTTGTACAGTATTTATTTATTGTTATTTATTTCAACGACAATTATTCTTTAAGTTGTTATTGATATTTTTTATTGTGAGTTCATTGTATGTGTTAAGATGACCCAAGAAGCATATAGGCCTTTGAAGGTTGAAATGAGAAACCTCAACATATCAGATCAGTCCAAAGAAAAGATTTTGGAGACATTGAAGTATTTGCATGGAGAGGTATGTTTGACAATGTTTTTTTAATTAAATGTGATATATCTCCTTTGTCTTGTAATAGTTCACAATTTGCTTTTTATTGAACCTTTGGGTTTGTTTTAGGATTTTATACACAAGAACAAATCATCTTACCGAGACAAAGGTTTTAGATTAGATCGACAATATTGGATTGATAGGGGAGAATTAATAGTGCAAGGCACAGTCAACTATTCCAAGAATAGAGAATCTTCTGCCAACCCTCAGGATCGGATAAATCAATTTGCACAGTCAAGGCTCGAAAAGTAAGTTGATTTCACATTTAATTTCATGATTAACAATGGTTTTCTGTTTATCTCATTGTATTATTTGAATTTTAGATATGGTTTTCATCCGCATCATTGCCGTGAGGCTCTAGGCATTACCTCTGGTGATGTAGGAAACGCTTATGAGCTCCTCTTGTGCCGCTACTTTAATATTCCTCTGCCTGACCCCAAGGATGTTCCTGTAAACATATTAGAGGAACGGACTCAAGAACTAGACTCCTTAAGGTCAATATATGATTCAGGCTGTGAAGAAATAATTGCCAATCAAATTTGGCACATCCACTTAGAATTACCTTATCTTGCTGAATTATTTGAAGAAAAGAAACCATCAAAAGTAGATCGAAGGGGAAAAAAAAATGAAAAAGACATATGTAGGTTTTATTTTAAAGGAACTTGTCGTTATGGTGATAAATGTCGTTTTTCTCATAACCCACCTCCTAAGGATAAGAAACTAAGTGTTGTCAATGAAAATAAAAATAAATTTGTCCTGGAAGTCAGATTTCCATATGGTATGTAAATTATTTGTATTTGGTGAACTTATATTTTCTATTAATATATATGTGTGCGTATGTTTATTATTTATTTTGTTGTTTTATAGGCTGTCATTATCCATTGGAGCCACCACTTGTCTCTCTTACAGCAAAATCAAGTGAATTTCCAACATCTTCTTGTTTAAGAGTCACCAAATTGCTACTAGACGAAGCTAGTAGATATTCAGAACTCCAACAGCCTTGTGTGTTTTCGCTTATTGATCTTCTGACAAATGGGCAAGAGGAAATTATTAATTCATTAAACGAAAGATCACACTTGTTTTATGAGCCATGGAAATTGCTTTTACCAAATAATGATTCTGAATCAGTCCCTGAAAATGGTCTTGAAGAATATGATGATGATGACCATCTCTACACAACAGCTACAGACAAGAAATTAACGCGTGATGCTGTTTTGGTGGATAGGTAGGTGTCATATTTTATATTATGAGTGCATGTGAGTTGGATTTTTAGTTAATTTAGTGTAATTTTGTATATTTAGGAGATTTATTATTTAAATAATAATTTAAAACAAAAAGGAAAGTTTAATTGGAATTAGTATAGTAAGTTGAACCACTTAACCGACCCTTCAGATTAAGCAGTGGTAAATAGGGGAAAAAAAATTGCATACTTTTTTCCAGAGTAGATAAGGTTCAGAACTTAACTGGCTCAACTGGCTCTCTGGCATCAATGACGATGTCTCAATCCCAACAAGAATGAATAAGATGGAATCTATTGTATTATTATTATTGATACAAAAATTTATGTTTATGTTCTTGAACTTAAACATGCGCACACACACTATAAAATCATAAAATAATTTAAGAAAAAGTTAGCTATCCCACTATATTTTATCAAACGTCTGTCATCAATGTTAATTATACACCATAACTTAGACTTTTCTTGATCGAATTAAAATAGTTAATTTATGAAAATAAACTAAAACATATGTACAATTTACTGTAGCATATATCTTTGCTCATAATGGTCCGATTTCGATATATTTTTTGTAGGAAATTTTGTGGCCTTTTAATTATTCATGAAGATAATTCGTCATAAATTGCATACTTTTCCTGTCATGGCTAAATTAAGTTTGTTTGTTTTTCTGAGATGTTACTGTGATTCGTCACTGCTCCATTTAATACCCTTTTGTTTGATACCTCATTCATCAAAATACATCGCTCCTGAGAGCCGGAAAAGGGATCGTATTGTATTATAAGATAGATAGAAGAGCTGTGTCTTCATGGCAACAACTTCACTTTTCATTATGATGTTTTTACCTGGCATTAACTAAAACATTCATAACTCCTCAGGATTTTATCCTAATTCAATGTTTCTAGAACTGTTGGAAAGCTGGATTATTGCTCTTCAAGAACGTATAAATAACTTTTTGATTTAACACATCTATAAACAGTCAATAAATAAAAACTCCTAACAGGTTTTTATTTTATTATTTGAGATCCAAATTATTTAGGGGGGGGTACAGTTTGTGTCATTTCGTGTATTTTATAAGGCCCTTTATCTCTGCAAAATTTCATGTGAACAGGTGGAAGTATATTGAAGTTTTCACACTTTTTGTAATTTTTGAAAAAAAATCAAAGGGAGTTGGTTGCCTCAGATCAACTTAGTAGAAAAATATTTTTATTTTTTCAAATCCATATGTGCTTGTTTTAGGTGAAATTTTTCCAATATTATAAAATAAGGCTCTGTTTATTTTTTCACCATATTTATTTTAATTTTCATAGCTACGTTTCGGCTGGTAAGCCATCTTCAAGCCATTTTATTCAACCATGCTTTTTGCATATTATCAATTAGACTTTGGACTACATGCAAAAAGCATGGTTGAATAAAATGGCTTGAAGATGACCTACTGCCCGAAACGTAGCTATGAAAATTAAAATAAATATGGTGAAAAAATAAACAGAGCCTTATTTTATAATTTCTAATTTTTGATCGCAATGAAAATTCGTATTCGATTTTCATGATTTCTTTTCTTCGTTTTGTAGGGAATTGAGTAAATTTTCAAATAATAATGGGTCTAATTAAGAAAAAAAAATACACTTTATAAGTAATTCGCAAATAAATTTTCCTTTCATTCATAACTTTTGCTCTGAGATTTTGGATGGATGTTACTATGATTCGTCACTGCTCCATTTAATTCCCTTTTGTTTGATACCTTATTCATCAAAATACATTGCTCCTGAGAGCTGGAAAAGAGATCATTATGGCAAAAAACTGTTGTATTATATTATAAGATATTTTTCTGTATAAGTCTCAATGATATACCAGTTAGTATATGTTTTTTATGATCTCTTTCATGACTTTTTCTGCTCAGTTATGACCTCAATTTTTTTTCCTGAGCTAGATTTATTGTTGGAAAACCTTGAATCCTTCTTTGTCTCAAATGTTTCTGGAGTATTTTTTTAACATTTCAATCATATTTATTCCAATATTTTACTGATGATTTAGTGTTTAATACACCCACAAAAAAAAATTTTAATTCATAAAAGAAAAATGGAAATAACTGATCGATCCTTAGAATTTTTATATGGCAATGTCTAATGAAGCTAACAATTTATTGTCAGCTTCTCTAATGTTTTGATGTGCAATAAGGCTGGTTTAGAAAAACCACTAAATGGTTGAAAAAATGATTTCTAAAATTTAAAAAAACAATCTGGTGTGCATCACACAACTTTCACTTACCTACCAACATTTCAGTTGATATGTATTTTCATCTGTAGGGAAGTCAAAGTGAAAACCACGATATAACTTCATTTAAAATAATTCATTATCATGTTCCACCCATCAAATCGGTAAAATTTATATGTTTGTATCACTTTCCATTTCCTTTTACAACTGTGCATAGTATACACATCAAACAATACTAATGATTTTAGGGAAGAATAGATTTTTGGAAAAATTCTGAGTTTTATTAGAAGCATTTATCATGTAACTTGTTAAAAAAATAATTTAATGTTAGTAAATCATTAAATATTGTTCATTTTTAGGTTTATATTAGTAGATCCTCAACATTTCATATAAAAACCTTTTTAAAAAATTATAGATGAGTGATATATAAAAGTTAAACTAACAATATAAAAGCCCTGTTTAGAGAGGTATCGGGTATCTGCAAAGGGAGAGAATCGGGAAAGGTTGGGCGCTTTTGGCTGTTTCCATTTAGTTTCCAGCTCTTATTTCTTTTTTAGACACCAATCAATTTTCATTATTTATTATATCAGTTGTCAATGTTAAATGGTTAATTATTATACATAAAAAATAAATAAATAATCAACGTACTTTAGGTGAAGAAATTTTGAAAATAAGTATATAAGGATCTTGGTCTGCATGATTTTTCTATGTGGATGGTCATCCATCCAAATACTTATCACACTCTACATTGCTTAACTTCTATTTCCTATTGCAAGCACCATAGCTCAGCCACCCTGACTTTCCAGTTACGATATTATATCTATTAATTACAATTAAGTTAATATATTGTTCCTCAAAGTCATTTATTCAATTTTCATTTTACTTGTTTGTTGAACATTGATTATTACTCACTGTGTATGTAAGCTTTTACATTTTTTAATATTTTATTCATTTTTTAGAATTGATGCAGAATTGTGCTCGAAATTCATTGAAAAAACTAAAAATCCCAAATATCTGTCCATGTTAACCTTCAGGAGGTCTCTTCCTGCCTTCAATAAAATGACTGAAATAATTGAGGCAGTTCGAAACAATCAGGTTGTTATAATAAGTGGTGAAACAGGTTGCGGAAAATCAACTCAAGTAAGTAATTGATTATAAATTTAATGCACAAATGATCTCTTTTATGCTACATAGATTCCTGGTTAACACTGATGGTAATTTAGGAGAAAATGTACTGTCAAAAAACAGATTTAGTCCATTCTCTAATGCATATTTTGTAAAAGTAAATATTTAAACTGTAATGTATTTATGAAACAAACTATTTATCATTCTATGTTTTGGAAAATGATTTCTAGGACACTATATTCTCCTGTTTATTGTTTTCTATTCTATTATAGTATTTATTCTCATAATATAAATTTTAGGTCCCACAGTTTCTCCTTGATGATTGGCTGATCAACAGAAAGGATGGAGAACATTTTGAAATAATATGCACTCAGCCAAGGAAAATTTCAGCTATTGGTGTTTCTGAAAGAGTATCAGCCGAAAGAGCGGAAAGAATTGGGGATACTGTAGGATATCAAGTAGGTTTCTTTCAGCTAGATCAACTTATAATTTTCTTGCAAAATATTCTCTCTCTCTCTCTCTCTCTCTCTCTCTCTCTCTCTCTCTCTCTCTCTCTCTCTCTCTCTCTCTCTCTCTCTCTCTCTCTCTCACACACACACACACACACACACACTCACTCACTCATTACTTTTCATGGTCTTAGGTCATTTAATTGCTCCTATATTTTATACAAGTGAGAAGCCATGAAAAATAGATCTGAGATTATAGCTTAGTTTCAAATCAATCCTTCATCTTTAGGCTTATATAATATGTTAATATTAAACTTATTAATTTCCTTTTTGTTATTTTAATAAATTTTTAATGAAATCTTTCAGATTCGATTGGAGTCAAAAATGTCTCAATATACTAGGCTGTTATTTTGTACCACAGGTATTCTTCTTAGAAGATTAGAAAGAGAACCATTAATAGATTCAATTACTCATGTTATCATAGATGAAGTCCATGAAAGGAGCGAGGAAAGGTATCGTAGTCTCATTAGTAATAAATTTTAATTGTCAAAGCTTATTTTCTACTTCATTATTTAATATTTTTTATTTTTGTTACAGTGATTTCTTATTGTTTATTCTAAAAGATATACTACATCAGCGACCTTCCCTTAAAATCGTATTGATGAGTGCTACTCTTAATGCACAGCTGTTTTCATCTTATTTTGGTGGAGTCCCTATTATAGAAATTCCAGGTATGTGACATTTAAGTATTGTCATACTGCAGACAATGGGCTATTGACCCCAAAAAAAAAAGTATTGAAGTATTCAAATATTTTGATCAAATTAGGTCCAAAACAGACAACCATCTTGCACCACATAATGTAACCTTGTAATGTTATATTTTGTTTATTACAAGTTAAACTATCAAAATTATTATTTTTCTGATGTTGCCTGACAAGGATCTTCTTTTAAGTTTCTTTTTCTCAAGAGAAGGCTTCATACAATTCTTGTTTTGTTTATTCTGTGATTCATTTGCTCTTCAGGTTCAAGTATCACGTATGATATGTTCATTGAACAGTGTTTATAAACTAATTTTATTTATTTTTAGGACGTACATATCCAGTAGAACAATTTTGGCTAGAAGATATAATCAATATGACTGACTTTAGGTTAGAAGAATTCTCACAATTAACTCGGAAAATCGGTAAGCAAAGTAGTCGTGATATTGATTCTCTTGATGCAGAATGTGAATTAGCCGAAGTACAGAGAAGAAGTTTCTTAGTGCCCGAAGAATCAAATAGAGATGAATACTTACCAGTTTGCCAATTTTATTATAGATATCGAGGTATTATTGTTTTTATTACTTTTTAGTTTTTTAATTATATTGGCACAATTTAGGTTAGAAATTACATTGTACAAATTAATTTGCAGCTTTCCCCCGACCGGTTATCAAAACCTTATATTTAATGGACTTGGACAGATTAAACAACGATTTAATTGAGTCTGCTCTATTGTGGGTCATAGAAGGAAATCATCAGTATCCACAGGAAGGATCAATCCTCGTAAGTGAAAATATTGATTCATTTTTATTTAAGTTTCTTAATATTCTCTTAAACAAATAACTTTTTTATTACTTTATATTATTAAGAATCTATTTGATTTAGTAAAGCATTAAATAAAAATTCTTCTTGATCAACTTCAAAGTATAGCTTTCTAAGATATTAAGAAAATCAATGCATTTTATTAGGGCAAACCATTGACCAATTTATGAGAAACATGACGTTCTTGAATGTTTTCTTTCCTCTATAATTAAATTTAATTTGCAGTATTGATTTGTTTTTACTTTCATTTAACTATAAGAAATATATGGTAAATAAAAATATTATGATTGTGAAAGTTTTGAATCTGAGTTATGATTACAAATACAAATTTTGAGTTTTTACTTCACTATGTATGAAAATACCTATGCACCAGATATTTTAAAAGTAAATCTATACTTTATTATCCTTCACAAAGTAGTTTGTCTTCTCATATGGTTTCCATCGCTTATTTTAAAAATAATTTTGAGGAGAAGAATAATTGGGGTGATCAGTCAAATAAGAAGGCAAAAATAAATGATAATATTTATTTTGACTAAAATTATCATTTATTTTAACCAATATTATCATCATAATATTATATTTATTTTTGCCTTCTTATTTGACTGATCACCCCAACTATTATTCTCTTCATTATTCACGACAGTCAACCATTTACCCACAATTAAAAATAATTTTATTTATTTGATCTTTATTTCAGAATTATTGCTGCAAAATAATAAATTTTATTTCAGATATTTCTTCCGGGTATTGCCGAAATTTTAAGTCTCCGTGAATGTTTATTGGCTCATCCTCTTTTCCATCCTAGAAATAGCAAGTTTCTTATATTACCATTACATTCTATGCTGACAACTGAAGAACAGTCACTAGTATTCAGGTAAGAATAGTAAATAAAATTAATTTGGCTTTTTGTTGATCTGAACTTGATTTGTGATTAATTTGTGTTTTACATTGGTTGTTTAAAGGATATAATTTTTAGAAAACAATAAAAAGTATTCATTCTGTGAAATAAATAAACCATCTAACTCAATTACTTCTCAGTAATAATAAAACTAGTAAATTGCAGAAAGTGCAGAAAATTTGCAAATTATATTCACTGATCAAATGACAAATTAATAAGAAAATAAAATAATGCAACATATCATAAGATAGAGAAATCAATTGTTACTTTCTCGCTAAGTATAATCGAGAAAGGAAATAAAATTTGTATTTAATGTTTGGAACCAAATTGTTTACAAATTTCAATAAGCTGTATTTTCGCTGTCCAATTTCGAAGAATATTTTTTCTTTTTGTATGGAATTTAATAATCTTTTATATAATCATGGACTTAACCTAGGGAAAAGTGTATAATTTTTTAGTTATTCGCAAATAAAGTTTCTTTTCTTTCATAACTTTTATTACTGAATTTTCGGGATTATAAGACTATTTTTTTCCATTTGAAGGAGAAGGAAACCTTCAAAAACGATGGCTCAATCTTGCGATTTGATGATGAATTAATGGTGATATGTCTTACCAACAACAAAACGCCTTCGATAAACAATATAAACTCCTCTCTCGATCATAGGGACCTCAAGTCGGCGAAATGAGATATGTATTTCATGACGGTACTACAATTAACACAAGGTTGTGTGGATGCGAACCCTTTGCCTTGCATTATTTTTGAAAATAGTACGTTTTTGGGCTTGGTGTACATTTCAAAATCTTCAAAGCCCAATTTGTCCTGTATCGATCTACAGACTTACTGACGTTCCAGTAATGAAGCCTAGCATAATGTTTGTATCGGTTTTATTTATTTGAGATAAAAAACAAAAGCAGAGAGTACGATTAGCTAACCTCCCGTGAAATTCTGAATTCGACGGTATCCCATTCATGGTATTTGAGCTTGACAGGAGCTAATATTTGGTACAAAACCGATTTCGAGCCTCATTGCAATAATATATGTGGGGATTACCTACGTTTTATTGCCAATAAAGATGTATTTTCCTTTTAAATTTTTCCATTAAGACAAAAATATTGGCTGTTACCAATGAAGCTGATATTAATATTGCTAATGGTTGATCCCATATATATGTTGCTGTGTTCCTGGACTTCTCGTTTCTACGGCATGTAGGGGGTTCAAGGAAACGCATTTATTTCTATTAAATGTATTTGATACTTATATTTGTATTTATATTGGTTCCAGAAGTAAAACTGATCAACTGAAAAATGTATGAATTGTGTATTTAAAGGTTAGTTACCACAGACCCCATACTGTGGCATACTAGATTGAATATTATTACCTTCAGGCAGGGGAGGGTTGAAAATAAAATAAAATAATGAATAAATAATTATTATTTTTATTGAATATCTTTTCAAAAGGTATTGTGTTTAAAAATTTACTATTTATATCTATAACTAATTGGTGGCATGCAAGGGAGATTGTAAAATTATCAAGATAGTATAATAATTCATACTAGTGTTCACCCAGTGGTTGAAATTCGACCATAGCTATTGAAAATTCGAGGAAACATATAATTAAATAAAAAATAAATAAAGAGTTGATTACAATTCAAAAATCCTCATTTATTGCTACAAACAAAATTTCAATTTCAATTGAAAATCGAGCTTAAGCTACTTAAAATTATTTATAAGTAATACCAAATAGACTCATTCAAAAATATTTAATTTCCATTTTAATTTATGTGTATTATTATCACAATAAATTAATGTTATGATTAAGCAAGTAAAAAATAAATTTAAATTAGCAATTTCAATTCACTTTAAATCCATTTTTATTCAGAACTTCTCTGTAAACAATGCTCTTTTTAAATGTTCTGTTATAAGTTAGTGCATATCCATGCCCATTGCCGTTGAAAATATAAATTTCAATATTTTAAATGAACGTGTTTTACTTGCTGCCACATACAATTGTCCATGCGATATTACTAACGTCGCAATAATACACACATTTTTCCAAAACTTTTACCCTGCTATTTGATTATGGTCAAAGCAAATGCACCTATTAATAGGAACGTTGTTCTTTGAAAGTCGAATGTAAGTATTGTGTCAGAAAATGTTAAATTAATTCTTGGCATTAAAATTCTTTAATTTAAAGTAGCCACTGTTAATACTTCACTCTCATTCGTGCTCCATGAACTAATGTTGGTGCAGTATATAAGTTAACAATGAGTATGACTATAGAATTTATTTTTAATTGGTAAATGGTTGACTGTCGTGAATAATAAAGAGAAGAATAGTTGGGGTGGTCAGTCAAAAAAGAAGGCAAAAATAAATGATAATATTTATTTTTACATATGCCGACGTTTCGACCTGAAGTTCAGGCCTTCATCAGGGCTAAGAAAATAATATTATCAGTAAAAATAAATATTATCATTTATTTTTGCCTTCTTTTTTGACTGACCACCCCAACTATTCTTCTCTTCATATTTTATTTTTAAATTTAATTTATGAGGTATCATTCCACTAAAATTAAATTATATCATCTCTTCAAATAATAGTCCCAATTATCTCAGTAAATAAAAAGTTTTCAATTTATCAAGAACTAAAATAAAGGAAATCGGAATTTGCAAAAGAAAAAGTACTAAATGTTTAAAATGATATATCTCTGCAACAAACAATCCGATTTCGATGATTTTTTTTTATTTTGTAGGGAATTCAGAGAACTTTCAAATAAATATTGGTATTATTATAAAAAAATGTGTACTTTTTGAGTTATTCGCAAATAAAATACTGAATTCATCATAAAAATTTATGCAGCTTGTTTTCGGGAAAGTATGTTATATACATAAATTATAAATGTTTCAAGGGGAAGACTTTAGCCAAGTTTCATTAAAATCGTTAAAACCGTATTGGCGCTGCATTCTAAAGCGAATGACGTTTTTGGGCTGCATCGAAAGGAAAGGCCTGATGATGATGAAACGTATAAAAAAAAACTTTTAAATATTATTGAGACGTGTGTCAAAATTTAAAAGAAATCGGTGAAGAACTTTCGGAGATTAGCTGTTTTGAATAAACTACCATTTATATTTTTATTTGTATGCACTATTTGCAGTTTTTATTTATTGATAACACTAAAACTCTTCAATAGCTACTAAACAAAGCAAGAAAATCTGTTGAGAAACCGAGGAGAAAAAGGGACTGACCCATTTTGCCTTTGCCTATTTGTATAATGATTATGAATTAATAATATATAATATGAATTAAAAAAATAAAATACTGTTCAGATATTTTTTCGCTAGAACTCTGAAATGGAAAGCACTATTCTTGGTAAAAGGTTAGTTGAAACAAGTGAGTTTAGCTGCTTAAATCTTGAAACTGGGTCTGTGTCATAAAGGTAACTGAATACTGGCCAACAGCCAGGAACCAGCAGACTGGTCTAGTCAGGCTGAAACTGAAAGCCTGGTTAGAAGTGTATTTGTCAGGTTGAAGGCCTGCAATGAACTGAACACTAAAGCTGGGATTTCTCCCGCTAATTTCAACTTCTGATGTATTAGATTGGTGAAAAATTAAAATTATCTTTAGAAAGTTGTTAGGTTTTCTCAAACCTTAAGGTTTTTCGAGTATTTCTTAGTGGTCAAATTATGACTTTTTGTATTGTATCTATTATATTATAGACTGATTAGTTTTTAATATCGCATTGCAAATTGTTTAAAAATTTTCTGGTTTATAAAAGTACTAAATTTAACTTGCATGCATTTGGAAGTGTTTGTGAAAACCGAATAACTTCTATTGCTATCTAACCTCCATTATATACAAACCATTCAATGTTATGATATTGTTATTAGATTGCTACAATTAGCTTACCTTCAGTTATTTCAGTTCTCATGCTCAATGTATATAATCTGTATCATAAAATTATTGGACAGTCCTTAATATGAAACCTTGTATTTAAGTGGTTTACTATGTAATCAAAGGATCAAAGGAATTGGAGGTGCTCGTGGGCCAGATCCAGCCAGGTTACTACTATGAATAGGCCATAGGTTGAAGTTTCTCCTGATCTTTATAATTATATAAAAGGAAAGTCTATTTTTTATAGTCTATTTGGAAATCTATTTGCAACCACTGACCGTGTAAACTACTTAATCGATTTATGCCAGTTTTTTTCGTATAATGATCCATGTTTTCTGGTTTATAACCTAGCATGTTATGGTTATAACCTATTGGAATCCTCGGTGTGATGGATAAAGAGAAAATTAGAAATAGTTTAAGCGTGTGTTGAGAGTTCTCTGAGTATAACTAATAATATTTAATCCTAATTTGATATTTTTGTGGTATTGTATTAGGCTATTGTTAGAAATAGCATCGAAATGACAAAATATTAAACATGATTCAAGTGAAACAGTGAGAAAAATAAAATGAAATAAAACAAAAATAATATAGTGCATATCTTTATTTATAAAAGGACAAAGGTAAATTAATAGTATTTACCAATCAGTTTTATATTGCTTTTGTTTACTTGAAATTTTTGAAGTTAGATGTTTTAGTCTTACGTTTTATGTGCTAAAACATGTAAAATAAATATGAAATCTTTTTATTATATGCTTAAATATTATATATATATATATATATATATATATTTTTTTTTTTTTTTTTTTCAGGAAACCCAGACCAGGTGTTCGTAAAATTGTTCTTTCAACAAACATTGCTGAAACCTCCATTACAATCGATGACTGTGTATATGTTATAGACACTGGAAAGATGAAAGAGAAAGGGTATATACCTCTATATTTTATTTTATTTTATTTGAGAATAGTAAGTAATAATAAATCTGCAGGACGTATATGTTTTGATATTTTGATGAGTTTTTTAATCTTGACCTATAATTGGAACCATGCAGAAGTATGTTAACATGAAGTATATGATAGCTGTTTTCTAGTTTTTTTTTTTATATTCCACAAACAGTACCCCACGGTTTCACATGTTAAACATCTTAAAATTAAAATCATTCATTTGATATTTTTCACTTCTCCAATGTTTTGTTTAATTTCTGTACTAATGCTTGATTATGGGAAAATAATCAACCAGCTACTAAATTGTTCTAATCTATGAATAGATGAATTTTTCTTATTATTATTATTTACAAATACGTCTAAATTGTAAGTGTATAAAATTAGTATGACGAGTAGTCAATACATGTTTGATTATTTAAAGTAATGGCTGATTTATTCATCAAATAACTTTCTAGTAATTAAATAATAAATTCTGTGTGTATTTAGGTTTGATTCCAATAGTAATATGGAAAGCTTAGAAATGGTATGGGTTTCTCAAGCCAACTCATTGCAGAGAAAAGGGCGTGCTGGTCGTGTCATGCCTGGAGTTTGTTTACACTTATACACAAAGCATAGGTACGAATATGTGTTGTCACCTCAGCCTGTACCTGAAATTTGCCGAGTACCTCTCGAGCAACTTATTCTGAGAGTGAAGATTCTTCCCTGTCTCGCTGATAAGGACCTAAATCAAGTGATAGGTTAGTACTAAAAAATTCTTGAATCAAATGTATTTTAGATCCAGTATTAAGATTAGTCCAAAGAATGGATTAAAGTTATTTTTTCATATTTTAGGCAATAAAACTTCCAATTTTCTTCATATTTTTTTATTTATGCTTATTTTCTCTTACATTTCGGTACAATTTTCCCATCATCAGAACAATATTTTTATTTTTACTGAAATTATGCACATTTTCTGTATTAATTTCAATTTAACAATATCATTCCAATTTATCTATTTTACAATTATTTACCATTCATTTTTTTTGATGTGGCACCATTTGTCAAAAATTAATTATTTGTCACACTTTCTAAGAATTATTTGGTGTTACACATATTCACTGTTACACTAATCAACATCTGGCTATTTTTAGTTTTATTTCTGTACTTTGTACCCATCCTCTTATTTCTTATTATGGTTGTTTGTTGTGTTTTTTTTGGTTATTGTTGTTTTTGTTTTTTTTAATTTTAATGTTGGATATTATGTCCGAATAGTGTGTACCTAAATGTTTTGTATCTGTTTTATAGTTTACTGTTCTATCATTGTTTCCTGTTATATGTATAGCTTCCAGTAGTTTCCTATTATTTGTTTTAGGTTCTATTGCCAGTATTTCTGGGTTTTTGAAATCAAAAGTGTGTAATGATTTAATACTGTGGTTTGCTAGTGCTGTTATGTTAATATTTTTACTATTTTTGCAGTTTGATGTATGTTGTGCTATCCTGGTTTTTAGTTTTTTTGAAGTTTCACCTATATATATTGATTGGCAATGTTGGCAGTCTATTTTATAAACAACATTTTTCTTGTCCAGTGGGTCTATCTTGTCTTTTGTGTTTGTCAAGTATTTACTTAATTTTTTGTCGTTATATATGACAAACTAGATTTCCGGTTGGTCATAGTTCATGAATACTTTTTTAATTTGTTTTGTAAGTTGTATGTATGTCATTTTGTTAAATATTCTTTTATTGTGAATTTTGCTTGTTTGTGGATTATTGTTTTGGATGTTGTCATTTGTTGTGTCTGTCTCCTTGAAAAACTGTGTAATAAATTGTTGTTAAGGTTTTTTTTGTTGTTCGATATTATTTATTTGTGTTTTTGGTATTTCTTGTTCTTTGTTTTTGTTCCAATTCTGTATGTGTATTCTGTTGTGTGCTCTACTGTACCATATTTTATTTAGTTTAATTGGGTAGACATTTTCTGTTAGTATTTTGCATATTTCAGTTTTTATTTTTGAAATGTAAGTTTGGTCAGTTAATGTAATTGCATTGTTTATTAGGTTTCGGGCTGTGTTTATTATTTGGTGTTTGGGATGGTTAGAGGTGAAATTGAGTATTTTTTACTAAAAAATTCTTGAATCAAATTTATTTTAGATCCAGTATTAAGATTAGCCCGAAGAATGGATTAAAGTTAGTTCTTTGTTTTCTTACAGCTGAATATGAATGAACTGATGGGTTACAAATAAATTTAGATAGTGTTTATGTGTACCTGATGACTAATCTTGTTCTAAATATTCATTTTTAGGTGGACTCCTTGAACCACCAGATATGAGAAATGTTGAAGGGGCATTAAAAAGGCTTAAAGACGTCGGCGCATTAGACGAATCTTTTGTCCTTACACCTCTTGGAAATCACCTCGCAGCCTTGCCTGTTGATGCTAGAATTGGCAAACTAATTCTGTTGGGGGCAATGTTTTGTGCCTTAGACTCCACCCTTACAATGGCCGCATTTCTTTCTCACAAATCACCTTTTGTTGTACCCTTAAGCAGACGAGAGGAGGCAAATAACAGAAAGAAGGAGTTTAATACTTCTAATTCCGATCAGCTTACCACTCTCAAAGCTTATAAGGTATTTCTTAAATTCCCTTTACTCCCATATATATTTTGATTTATAAGGAATAATAATAGTTATTTAATATTTTTAATTTTCAAAACTATAAATGCTGAAATTTCAAATAAGCGATCTGCCACTTTTTAAAAAAATTTAAAATTTAATGGTATTCTTGAAAAACATTGCTAATTACATACGCATGTTTATGCAAAATATTTAATAAATGATACAGGTGGGTGAAATCAATATTTTGAATTATAGATACTATACGTGTGACAGATTTTTATTATTCGTTAAAATTGATGGTAAGTTATTGTTTCTGCAATGTTATAAGAAAAATGTTATTGATCATTAATTATTCTTAATCAATAAGCTAAAGTACTTTTTTCATGATGTGATTAAATTTTGTTCTTCTTCCTTCCAACAGGGCTGGATGAGAGCCTGTGAAAAAGGTAGAAATGCTGGTTATAACTATGCGAATGAAAACTGTCTCTCAGTAAAAGTTTTAGTTAGCCTTATAGAAATAAAAATTCAGCTTCTGGAGTTCTTAATAGATATTGGATTTGTCCCAGGGGACATAAAAATAAGACATAGGAAGAATGATATTCAAGATAAGATATACGAAATGACTGGTCCAGCTGTAAGTATCATATGAACATATGTGTATTATTTTTTCTTCATATTTTGTAGTATATAAAATAAGTTGGCCCTTGCAAATAATTGTTTAGTGAAGGAATGGCAAAATAATATGGAAATAATTAGATGTGTTATGTGAAGAGTAATTAATTGTGATTTCTTTGGTTGATTACAGTTTTTCATTTAACATAATTGAGCATAATATTTGCACAAATAACAATTGGGTATAAATTCTCTTTAGGAAATAATAAAGTATTTTAAGTAAGGATAAAATGGTAGCAGAATTGGAAATGCAGTAATATATAATTGACTGTATCTTTGTTAATAATTGTCCAAATTTTTTGTTTTTGTTTTGTTAGTAATTTAGTAGTCATTCTAAAAATTGTGGATACAATCTAGAAAAATGCATACTTTTTTTTAGTTATGTACAAATAAAGTTTCTTTTCATTGATAACTTTTATCCTTAAATTTCTGGGGGTGGGGGAGAGGCTGACTATTTTTCCCACTTAAAGGAGAAGAAGACCTTTAAAATGAGCACTCAATCATTGGATTTGATGTAGAATTGACAAAGTCAGGGTTGCGTTGCGACATAAAAACACCTTTTAGAAATAATATATAAAGATTCAAAATAAAATTAACACATTAGTGCTAAAATATTTTTATTAAAAAAAAAAAAATACTGCATTGTTATCATTTAAAAAATGAAATTTTGGTTTTCAGTCTCTTGGTTTTGCAAATTTCTCATTACCAAATGGTAATACTAGTTTTACTGGAACTGAAAAAAATTAAGGAATTTATTATAGAACCTGGGAAATTCTGATATTCTATTTAAAAACACAAAGAGGAAGGAAAGTTTTTGATCCTGGAAAAGATTTTGAATTTCATAAGCCAGGGGATGAATTGCGACTTTGTTCTTGTGATTCAGAATCATTATTAATCCCAAAAAGTTTGGATAATAGTAATATATGGGCAAGTATACATATGACGTATCATTAGAGGCGGGATGGTCAAGCTGGCTAACGTGTGTGCACAGCACCGTGTGGTGCCTGCCAACCAGATAACCAAAGTTTTGAAAGATTAAAGAGTACGAGTTCGCTTTTCGGTGCCGGAAGGGATTTTACTTCTGGCATTAAATATTCACTGTGCCTTTGATTTTTTTCCCATCTTTGTTATCAATTCAACAATTATTCTGATGAATATTGTAGAAGATCCTGCGTTAAATTTTTTAAAACATGGATACTCTAAAATTAAATATCTTTGCTAACACTGGTTCGATTTCAATGATTTTTTTTATTATGTTTGTTTTGTTGGGAACCAAATTACCTAACAGCAATAAGAAAGTAATAAACATTTATTGACTAAATGCACATCTAAACTATCTTATTACGATTATTTATCTTACCTAATTATGGTAATAAAATTAAATGAGTTTCCATAAAAATATTTGAAAAGTATGAACAAATAGTTTATAACTTAGCTGTATATTTGCTAATACTGCTTGGATTTTATAATTTTTTCTGTTCTTCAAGGGATTTAATTTCCTTTTTCTGAATATAATTTAATTCTGAATATAATTTTCCATAAAGTGTATCATTTTAGTTATGCTGTAACAAAACTACTTTTATTTACATTTTTGTCTTGGAAATGTAGTACATATATGAAAATTCAAAGACTAAGACTAAGAGCAAGTTTCATTGAAATCAATAGATCTATTTTGGGGCTAGTCCATAGAAAACATATTTTTTGTTTATTGCCCATCTGCTCACAGGGTGCTTGATTTGATACAAAGACTTCAGGGGCTGATATCCTAAAAAAAAAAAAAAAAAAAAATTAAAAAAAATCTATACTACTACAACCTATTAAAGGTCTGGGGCCACTTGTTATATTGGGAGGTGATAAGGATTGAGACGGTTGGAATCACACTCAACTGCCAGATTTTCCGTATTAATTAATTATTTAATTAAGAGTACCCACTTTATTGATGCTGGGTATGCTCTAAGAGGGTCTCTAAACTCCAGGATTGATCCACAGCTGGTGAAACAGAATAAATAATTACTTGCCATCAGCTGGATTCAAACACGAGTACTTAAGCTTTGGAAATCAGTGCCTTACCCACTGAGCTACCCTCCTCCCCACTGGCTGATATTCTACAGAACAAAAAAAGAAGTAACAAGGCTGATGCTCCCGTTCAAGAGATAATCCTGACATACATACACAGCCCAATAGTTAAAAATGAGTTTTTTGGACTCAAAGAGCTGTAAAATGTAAAAATATGTTGGAAACTACCCATTGAAAATTTTACCACCAATTTTAATTAAATACATAAAATTATAATGTATGTTAATTGCTAGGAATGTTAATACTATAAGTCAAAATTAGAAAATATTTTTAACCTAGCCTTATATGTCTTGAATTGTGTGATAGATATTTGAACATCTGCTTGCAAAAAGCTGGCTTTCAGAATATGTTATAATTATCATTACAAATCATATTGATAGTGTATATTCTATTTTTTTTTTCTGATTGCAATATATTTTATTTATTTTTAGCTAAATGCAAATGGAGAGAATCAAAAACTATTAGCTGCTCTTCTTTGTGCAGCCCTATATCCTAATATTGTAAAAGTACACACTCCGAGTAAAATGTACCAGGCCCATATATCTGGAAACATACCTATGGATTTTAGTCCGGATGACATAAGATTTAAAACAAAAACAGATGGTTACGTAAGTATATTTGTTGCTGTATATTTATTTATGTGGGAGGTTTAACTACTTATTAATGTAAGTTGCTATAATTTAAACTTGTTCAGCTGTCAGAGGAAGGAGGGATGAGACAAACACATGTGAGTCCCTGATTGTTCTTCTCTTATTTTAAAAATGTACAATTTGCATGAAACAATAGGTTCGATGAGTACCTCGAGGCACTTGATTAAATGCTTACAGCACTTTGTTATATAGTTTAGTTGACTTGTTTCTATTTAGTCTGCCAATCTGAAATCCGGAAATAAACGTTTTGTGATGCCTAAGTGATATTTATTTCAGCAGTTTTAAGTTTAGATATAACTGATTGGCAAATGTTTTATTTATTTATAATTATAATGTTTAAATGGCAGATTTTCGTTTAAAACAATTTCTATTAGATATGTGTTTAAAAATTAAATAAAGTTTATAAATATTTAAATTTTATTGGAATCCAAAGAGGAACAATCGACCGTATAGTAAATTAACACCATATCATCGAGCAGTGGAAAGATGAAAATTAGTGGAGCAATACTGCAAGCACTCTCTATGTTCAACTTTTCTTCAATCTTTCGTTCACTAGTTTCCATCTGTGCTTTTTATTCTCAGAATGGATTTCCTGTTTTATTAATACTATTATAAAAATATGGAAACAAAAATAGGTAAATAATGCGTTAGGTAAATAATGCTTATATCATAGGCGGGGAACCTTTTTATCATTATAGGCTGTATTAAGGCAGTGATATAGAAGCTACAATATTTTTTTATATTTTACTGTAACTATTTCTATTCATTTATAAGTAAATACACACACACACATAAACTGATATAAATGCAATTAACTTAATTCTATTTATTATTAAATTTTCATAGCCTAAATGATCATTAATTCTAGCACTTGATTATTAAAGACCACTCAAAAACTAATGCCGACCGAATGCTGCTTCTGAGGCCGCAGACAGCTCGTGGAAGTCGCATGCAGCTTCAAGGCTGTAGATTCCTCACCCTTAGTTTATTAGATAAACCATATACTAATGTTATTGCCAAAACTCCTTTTAAACTTCATTCATCTTACCACAACATTATTATTGTGGATCAATTGATTAAATTTGAGTAAAATACTCCGTATTCGGTGCTCAGAATAGGTTTTGCTTATTTCTGGCAATAATTAGTATAATATTTTTTTATATTGCTTGATTTTAGAGAAAATAAAAGTAAACTGTTTAAACTATAAAAAAACTTTTGATAATAACAATTCCAAGATTTATTTTGAACTGACAATTCTTTTCTAATAATTTTACTATTATAATATGCACTCTGGTTATAGAGTGAGAATAAGTACGAAAAGTTTGTTTGAATGCTATACTATTATCCACATAACTCTACCATGCTTGCAGTATCGCTCCATTATGCATACTTCTATTGAAATGCATGTGTTTGTTTTAGTCGCTCTGTTCTTCCCGCTGCTTGACTTCGCTGCATTGGTCCGCTATGTGGTCTATCGAAGTTTCTTTTTAAATGGCCTTGCTTTTAAGAAACTGTATGCACTCAATCTGACAATCAACACTGATTCAGTTATTACATTACTACATCTTAATAGTATCTTAGTATGAATGTTTTCTTGTATGCTACCCAAGTCATCTTCAAGTTAACTTGCTCAAATGAAAATTTTTGTTTTTGAATTAAATTTCATTATGGTTTAAACATGATTGAAAATCATTACAATGGCATTACTATATCACAGTAAGGGCCTCGTGTATAATTTAATCTTTGAAGCTAGGAAGAAATTTTCTGAATTATCCAAATAAATTAATATTTATGACAATAGAGACTTATTTCTTATCTCATCCTAATGGTATTAACAAAAGACATCCATCTCAAATATAAATATATTTTTATAAAAATTAATATTAATAAGGGTGACTTAGCAGCATCAATGTGAAGCTTAAGTTCTTAGTGAAAGTTTTGTGGATAGGTAATCAATTTATTTTTAGATGGATAAGGAGAAGATTTAATATCATGTAACCTTTAGTAGATATATCATACTATTATGACCTAATGGCTGAGCACATAGGGTTGTTGTTCGATTCCCACCTGAACCAGTTAATATTTATTTCATGATCACACCCAGAAATCAATCTTGACAATTCCACCTTGGTTAGGATGTGGCGGCAACCTTTAGGTAACCTCAGGAATAGGCAAACAGGACCACATGACTCACTTATCAGATTAGTTCCCACTACCTGTACTATATGAGATCAATTTCTTTGCTCATCTTGGTAAAAAAGGACTTATCTATATAACTATTGAATCCCGTTCCTTCTGCTTACTTTCCTCTTCTCTTATGATCCTCTTCAGGTATATTCAAGCGAACGCTTATTTGTGTTTGATCCATTCTTGTATCACCATTTTGATGTGTTGATTGGTTTTTAAGAGTTATCGGTTTGTTTTTAACAATCAATTAAGTAAAATTTGTCTGGTTCCCAATCTTATGTTAGTTTTGGCCAAAAGTAAATGTTTTATTTTTTTTCTTGTTTTCTAATGATACTCGTAAATTTTTATTATAGTTAAAAAGAAGAGGCCTTAACAGGATATTTTATTGACATAATAATATTATTAATCAAAAATTTTCAATTTAATATGTTGCTTAATTTTTTTTAGGTTCATTTACACCCGACTTCTGTGAATCATGGAGTTACGTTCTATCCTAGTCCTTACTTAGTTTACCAGGAGAAGATCAAAACTTCGAAAGTGTTCATTAGAGAGTGTACTATGGTGCCAGTATTAGCTTTAGTCTTATTTTCGGCAGGGTCTCTTAAAGTTGAGCTAAACTGTGGCCAATTTGTCGTTTCGATTGATGAAGGCTGGATAATGTTTACAGTTGAATCCAATGAGGTAAGGAAAATACTTGTATATAAATCATTTACTGCTACCTCATGACTCAAAATGTTTAGTTTAATTTTTGGTGTTGCACTGAGCACTGATGGTATTAAGTTAGGTAATGATTTAAAACTATAGAACAGGAATTACAATTATTCAATTTCATTCTTAAGTCAGAGTTAAGTAATCATTTTTCATTACAGAACAGGTATAATTATAATTATTCAAATTTATTTTCAAGTCCGAATTGTACAATCAGGAGCTGACCAAATGCACACCATTTTATGGTTTCAATTTTGTTTTAAATTTAATTTAATAAATTGACAGAAAGCACCTTTAATTTCATATAAAGTGCTGGACACTGAGGTAATACAAATGGACCATTTGCTTTGGGGCTAAGAAATGACACTCTCCCAATTAAAAGTGCACATCATTGCAATTTATTAGCATTTAGTGTTGAGATTACTATTATATCTAATAATTACATATTTCCAGATTGCAGAACTGCTTGAGTCGATAAAGAAAGAATTACTTCAGTTACTCGATCAGAAAATCAAAGAACCACGGATGAATTTGCAAACTCACCCAAAAGGAAAGAAAATTATTTCAACCATTATTCACCTAGTCACTAATGGTTAATTTATAGGCGAGGTGTTAGATTTTTATGTTCTGCACAAAGGATGGATAGTTTTTGATCAGAAGTATGATAATTCTGATGAGCATAATTGTTTCATTATTAAGTGTGTAAATATTTTTTATATATATATATACATATGAATCTTATAGTTGAATTATTTATGTGTCTTTCCACGTGTATCTTGTAAATAGTTTAATTTTGTTTTTTGTTTGTGATAAAGTTTAGTTCCATTAAGAGACTATTATAAAAAAGTATTTGTTAAAAAATAAAAATAAATGATTAATTTTGTTGTAGTAAATATTTTATTTATTCTGATCTTGAATGTATTCTGATCTTTGGCTTAGTTTAGGAAGGACAGAAAACAAAATTCTTCAATTTTTAAAGGTGATCACAAACAAATATATACATCAAAGGATAAAATAAATGATAATAAACTGAAAAACCCACCCCAGCAACAGGAACTGGGTAGTAGATAAATCATTCCCATAATTAGACAGATTCAAGTTCCTCAGCTCCAGAATAACCTCAATAAAGAACCAATGGTGTGAGTCATGAATATATAACAAGCACAGTTTTCTTCTCTCTAAAAAATCTCAAAAGGAGAATCTACAATACTATGAAAAATCCAGTTCTGATATACTGCTAAATATCAGTTAAACATGCATACTACAGCACCTTAAGAAGAAATGTGAAAACATTTGATAAAAAAATTCTCCAAACAATAACCAGAGCAATCTGAGATTTGAGTACTAATACATAGTAGAGGAGAATAACTGCTTGCAAAAACTGACCAATTAATATTTCATGATATGAATGCAACAAAAGATGGGTAGGATAAGTAGCTCGAAACAGTCCATCAAGAAGTCTCCGTATAACAATGAATGCCTTAATCGTTTCTCAAGGATAAAACTAATGTGGATGTCCAAAAACCAGATGGACAGATAGTATCAATGAATATGCTGTGGAACTGCACGTAACAAACATTACTTTGTTTAAATCTTTTTTGGTCAAGGCTTAAATTTATCAGAAAATAGATAAAAATTGAATAAAGTACTTATTCATTATATTAAACACTTATAGTTTAATAACTCCCTAATATTAAGGTTCAACCTTTAGCATGTTTGTAAGTTCTAAATCTTACTCTTAGTAATAGCATTCTTTCAGATCTGTGTACAGTGGAATTGCTTACAGCTAAAATTTCCTTTATTTCTTATTTATTTAAGACCCATGTCTCAAAGAAGCTAGACGGTGTATTATTTTTAATACAAATATTTTATTGGGATAAATTAAATTAAAACTAATTCTATTGCAAATTTCTATTTATTGTTTTTAAAACTATACATAACTTCTAAAAGAGTTGAGGAAATTAACACATTTATTTTTAATTACTTAATTAAATAACCTACAGACTAATATGATAGCACATTATTTTATTTTATTTTATAATGCTATTATTCACAGTCTTTAGTATTTCGAATTGACTAAGTCACAGCCTGTTTTTGTTTCTGTAACTGAACATAAAATTCTTTGAAATATAACCAATAATCTTCTAATTGTTACTATTATAATTAAATATTTATTAGACATTGAAGTTTATCAAACTTAGTAATTCATATTTATCAATTCTTGTTAGCAGGTTTACATGAAAGTTTCCATTTTAATATACTAGTTTCCTATTTGAATCTTCCATTAAATTAAAACTAACATGTCAACTACTTTTTAATAATATATCTCTATGATATTGGACTCTTGCTCGTTTAAATAGTTGGCGTATCTTTAATCAATATGAATATAATATAATATAAATTGTATATAATCTCAATGTGAAACATATCTAGTACAAAGTATTTTGATTTGGAGTATTTTATTTATACCTGAATTTCACTAACAATAATTTATTAACGATGAAAATTAAATTTTGTTTAGTTAAATGATTTTACATCGAGACTGACAAAATGCCATATGTTGGTAAACACGTGATATCCCTAATTTTTAAGAAGAGCGGATCAAAATTTCGGAACCACATAGTGTACGTTAATAAAATAATTTCATCAGAAACTCATAAATTGCGTAAACAACATTGAGTCACAATAAAACGAAATACCTTATGAGGTCTGTAGGTTATCTATATAAGTTATAGATTATGATCTATAATAATTATTTGTATAAGACAATATTGTTTTATGAATGGTTTGAGGGATTCGTACTGATAGAAGATCTCAATATTCAGATATTACATACTGCACTCATGGGAAGAGTATGGCCAGTATCGCTGTTCTACTTTCTGATTTATTCATACTTTTTTTAGGGTTGGTTCAGACCCTGAAAATTGATAATTTTAAATCATGAATATTATAATCATGAATATGATCTTGTCCTCGTCGTGCCCCTAGATAACCAACCAAACGATCACATAGTCGCCAGACGCCCAGTTTTACCAAAAGCGACTTATGGCGCGGCCAGCACTAAGCCAGGCCAACGCAAACAGCCTTTCTCAAGGCCATGAAAACTTCATCTTAAAGACTCTTTTTTGGAATGCAGGTGGTCTCACCAGTGAAAAGTACACCGAGTTGAAGCATTTTGTAATTTCAAACAATATTGATTTATTTTGCATTGTTGAGGCAGGTGCTGTTGCTGACAATATGGAATATTTTAGGTTCCCAAATTTCCATATTTACTCACTGCCAAGAGCTAGGCAAATAGCATCGGGGATACTTGTTGGTGTAAGATCTTCCACAGCTAAGTTCTAAGTTAAAAAAGAAATGGATGCAAATGATAAATTGGAAAGGGTGAAAATAAATCTATGGTCAAGCAATCTCCACCATCAAATATTTGTGGTTTACAACTCACCTAATAATAAACTGAATTTGAGTTGGCTGGAAAACTCATTGACTGATAGATCCCTTGTGTATGGAGACTTTAACGCACACTCCAGACGATGGGGTTACGCAAACTCAAATTCAGCCGGAGAAATTATGGAGGAATTTATTGAAACAAATATGATAGAATTTGTGAAAAACAAAAATTCAAAGCCTACTTTTATGGATTATAAAGGTAACAGCACCCACCCTGATCTATTACTGATGCACCCCCGAATAGCTCCGCTGATCTTCCACACAGTTACCCCTCCACCTGGAGCATTTGGTCACAAAATAATGCTTGCATACCTTAGTGGCCACTCAAATTCAAGTAATAATACAGTACCTCGAATGCTCAGATGGAATTTAAAAAAGGCCGATTGGAAAAAGTTCTCGCAACTCAGTCACACAGCCATTACTCCTGAAACCATTACGGAGAGTGTAGATACAAGCTGTGCACGACTTCAAGCGGCAATTCTCGAGTGTACAAAGCGGTCTATCCCTCGGGGATTTATGAAGAGATACACTCCATTCTGGAGTGATAATCTACAACAACTAAAAGAAAGTAGGGATGCAGAAAGGTCAAGAAAAATGGAAGACATTGTTAGGCTAAGACAACTTACAACAAACTTAAAGTTGAATATAATTCAAGCCAAACGGAAGACTTTAAGTTTAATAACAAGGAGATGTTTTCTGGACTTGCCATAGCAAGGAGCTTCTGTAAATTCTTTGCCAGCGCATCTAACTATAAACCAGCAGAGAATTAATACCGCACCACCAATATTATGTTTTAACCTTTCTGAAAGCCAACTTTTTGGAGAACACTTCAGTAAGGAAGAGCTTGAACTTGCTCTGGCACAAACAAAGAAGGGAAAAAGCGGTGGCCCTCATGACATATTGCCAGAGTTCCTTATACACCTAGATGCGAAAGCTAAGCTCATAGTGCTGGGTTTTCTCAATGCTGTCTGGACATCACAATATCCTTGTGCCTGGAGGAAGGCTGAGGTGATCCCAATTCTCAAAAAAGGCAAATGTTCCTCTTGTCCATCTAACTACCGACCTATCTCGCTTACAAGTGTTTTCTCTAAGCTCTATGAGAGAATGGTCTTAGCCCGGCTGCAGATATATTTAGATAGGGAAAATAAGATGTCAAAACAAGCAGGTTTCCGAAAGCATCGATGTACAACTGAGCAGGTGGCTCGTATTAGTGAGGATGTGAAAGATGGATTCCAACTTAAACAGCATACACTTGCAGTATAAGTTTTTTTTTAGACTTATATTTTGTCCAATTAATATAGAAATAGTAAACCAATTTTATTCTAGTACAAAGTCCCTTAAGAATAACAATATTGTTCATAACGATTAACATTAAATTTGGCCAAAAGAACTAATACAGTAAAGGATAATTAAAACATAACTTATAAGATAAGTATATACATAGCAATCAGGATAAAATAAAGAATGCATATGAGCTAAAGGATTAAAGTGCTCCAATGTAGCTGCTAAAAACAATGAAATAAAAATAACTAAATTAAATTAATTTTATAAGCAAATCATTGTAGTAATAAAAAAAGAACAGAAAAGAAACTAACTAGAGTAAATAACTGATTTACATCTGTTCCTTTAGATGTGGTAATCTACATGCTACGATGTAGATTGAGACAAGAAAAAATATATATTTATAAATAAACACACACACATATATACATATCCCTCCATATATACAAGTACAGTCGAGTGTCTAAAGTTGGTTACAAATGAAATATATCTCATAGACAGAGTTTTATGAATAGAAAAAAAAGCCTATTCACAATGCTCTGCAAAAAGTGACAAGTAATCTTTCCCATACTCATAACATTAAAAAAAAAAAATGTGTAAAAAGAATTAAAATCTCATTACATAATAAATAACTAGCCAGTATCTGATTGGATTGTGAAGAGGAATTAGAAAAGGAGGCTTTTAAATGTGAATAAGGATGATGTATAGCGGATTTTAAGCGGGATGGAATTCCAAAATGTGGTGGAACAGGGACGATAAAGATGTGTTGAAATGAGGCAGTTCTTTGGAAAGAAGTTTAAAAGTCAGAGGGACAAGATCTTGTGGAGATTGAGTGGATAAATGGCTTGAATTGAAGGAGATATTATGTGTAGGACGGGCGATGATTATTGATTATTTGATAAAGGAACGTGCCTAGAAAGTTTTGTCTTCTGAAAGAGGAGAAGAGACCCTAACTCATCATAGCAGTGGGAAATACGAGACCACCTCGTAATCCCATTGACAAATCTCACGAGGCAATTCATAATTCTTTTCAGTCTGTCTCCAAGTTACGCCCAGAGGTCACCGTACACCACGCAACTGTAGTCAATGTGGGGGAAAGAAGAGGGAAGATACTAGGAGTCTATTTGTGGGCATGGTAGGAGATGGCGGAAGCAACGGAATAGTTTCAGGGTACCATTTGACTGTTGGAAAATGTTGGCAATATGGTGATTCCACGAAAGGGTTTGCTCAATGAAAATTCCTAAGTTTTTAACTGAGGAGCTGAAGGTGATGGTCATTTAGGTACAGGACAGGAAAGTTAGAATTGAATCTGTGACGGGGTTTGGAACCAATGACAATGGCTTAAGTTTTAGAAGCGTTTAACTTTAATGCATTAGGTTTACCCAGACATTGATCCAATTCAGATCTTGGATTTTGGCAAACTTATCATACAAAACAGAGGGAGAGGACATGTAAATTTGGGAATCAACGGCATAGAGGTGATGGGAACAGTGAAGGATTAATTTATGAATGTTGTTGATATAGGAAATAAAAAGAAGAGGAGAAATGCTAGAGCCCTGGGCCACTCTTGAAGTCAGAGTAAGATAAGAATACAAAGGTTGATTAGAGATAGCAACAGCTTGTGCATGTTGAGAAAGGAAAGATTGAGATCAAAGGATAGAGATGTTGGAAAAATTTAGTAATTTTAATTTGGAAAGGAGGATGGAATGGTTAATGGTATCAAAGTCTTTGGAAAAGTCAAGGAGTACAAGGACGGTTAATTTTTTTTATCTATAGCAGTTTGAACATCACTAATGATTTTAATTAAGGTAGATTGTGTGAAATAACCTGGTCGAAAACCAGACTGGTAAGGTTCATGTTGATTGCACTGTTTGAGGAAATTGGGAACTTGGGATTGCACGATTCTTTCAAGGGGTTTTGAAAGGATTGAGATTGGCCGGAAATCTTGGGGGAAACAAGGGTTAGTGGTTTTATTTAAAGGACAGATAGTGGCTTTTTTCCAAAGGATGGAAAATACTGAGTTCTGTAGGGAGAAATAATAAATGAAAAGAAGAATGGGAAGGATTTCAAGCAGGCATAATTTGATTAATTTGGCAGGAATGCCACCTGGACCAATAGAATTGGATTATAATTTCATCACGGTGAATATGAGGTCTGTGGGGAGCGGGGTGGCCGAATAAGCTAAAGCGTGTGCACAGTACCGCGAGTTGCCTGAGAACCGGATTACAGATTTGAGAAGATTGAAAAAAGTACGAGTTCGCGTCCCGGTGCCGGAGGGGATTTGGGGATTTTAAATTCCCTGCCCTCACCCTCCGGCACGGGAAAATCCTGTATAGACTAAAGGGCGAGGTAGGAAAGAACAGAAAAAAAAAAAAAAAGAAGGATAAGAGGTCTGTGGCAGAAATGTCTGAATAATAAAAGTCATCCTCATTAAACAATGTTTTTGGGATAAAAAAGGAAGAGGTTGATGGAGGAATGGAAAAGGAAGCCGATATAAAATATGAATTTAAATCATCAGGTGAAACTGGAAAAACTGCTGATGGAGATGATCTGGAAGCTTCGTGGAGGGAGAGTTTACAAAGAAGTAGTAATTTGGATTTGGAACCATGAGCTGATGAGAAGGATTCATGGAAAGAGGTGGATTAGGATCATCGAATTCTGTTTTGTGTCAGTTTACATACTAGCCTAGTAGGTCTAAAGCATCTGCGGGCAGTGTCATGTCTCTTCTGCTGAGACATCCAGAGAGTCAGAGGGTGAGGAAATGTCAGACTTACAGATATGATGAGTGGTAGAATAATGAACGATGAAAAGATAAAGAGAGAAAAAGAGGTTTTCAAAATAAGGTTTATCGTAAGAGGTGGAAAGGAAAGTAGTGCTTAAGTCACTGGAAATGATAATTTTGGAATAAAGGGGAACAAAGTTGAAGAGGGACAATTCAAAAGACGTGTCAAAGGGAACTTTAGGAAGGCAATATACTATGGTTTATAGGAGAGGAGAGGCATTACAGAACATCTAAACGATAAGGAACTCATCATGTGGGTGATCGGATGGAGAAGTACAGTGAAGTATTTGGGTCTTAAGGCTTTCATGGATATACATAGCCACACCGCCACCAGTCTGGCTGTGCTGGTTGTTAAGGTAATGTCTGCTGTGTGCAAGGATACCTAGAAGCCATGGCTTAAGTTGTGCCATCAAAACTTTTGAAGGGGACATATTTTGACAAGATTTTGAATTTTTCAGGGGAGCACATTTTGACGAGGTTATGAATTTTCAGAGTGAAAAGTTTTAAACCTGAGATCGAGGAAGAAAACATGGGAGAGACCACATCTAGTGTAATTGAGAATCTTCCCTTAGCTAGGCACTGCAGAACACTACCCATACAATAAAGATTTAGTGTGCGTATGGAAAGCCGCGGTGGACCCAGCCCATTTCAATCTAGGAAGAAAAGGAACTACTGGATGATTGGTATGAAAAGTCTAGGAAGAGCACTCAAGGAAATCATGGAAGAACAGATGATCAAGGATTACTTGCAGTTGTGAGATGTTAAGCTGATCTGCCTAAATCTTACTACTATGTACGGCATAAAAGGCACATCAGGGATTAAAATAAATAATAAATAAGCTAGTGTAATTGAATATGATCTAAGATTTCTCTAAATCTACTTTTGCTTGCATTGTTTTTAAGAAGAGGAGAAACAATAAAATTTCTGGGGAGAGAGAGAGAGGGGGATTGGCAACATCAAACCTGGGGGAGGAAGGGGGATGGGCACCCCTGACTGTGTACTCAAACCAGCATAAATCAGAGCCTCACCAGGTTAGGTGGACAGCAATCACTGAGAGCTTTCAGAAGGGGGCCTAAAACCATTATTTTATATTTTTCTAGAACCCCAAAATCAATGTTTTGTACTTTTTTATTGCCGAAAAATGATTAAGGTCCCTTTTGAGAGTCCTAAATATCGTTATTTTGTATTTTTCTAGTACCGTGGTATGGTTGGCCTAAAAATAATTGTTTTGTATTTCTAAAATTTTCTGGGGTTCCTCTAATGGACCACAAATATATATGTTTTTTCTAACTTTCTATCACAGTAAAGTGATTCGGGGTTTGCCCCTTCTGAGGGTTCTGAATGTCATTATTTTGTATTTTTGTAGTTAATGGTATATAATGTAGCTAAAATGGTATATTTGTTCAAATAAATAATTATTTTGTATGTTTTATACTTTTCTTATCGTATAGAATGATAAGGGTCCCTTTTGAAAGTCCTCAATGTCGTTGTTTTTCATTTTCCTTGTACTCTGGTATGTTTGGCTCCCAAAATAATAGTTTTGTATTTTTGAAATTTTCTGGGATTCCTTCGATGGCCCCCCACATAAATGTTTTGTAATTTTATATTGTTGTAGAATGACTGGTGGGCTCCGTCTGAGGTCCCTGCATATAATTATTTTGCATTTTTCGACTTATGAGTTGCCTGATATCTTTGCTGGGAGGTGGTACTATTATGGCTGTCAGTGTGCTAACCAACTTAGGTACCAATGCTTTATTTAAAATAAAACTGAAGAGGATTACATTATTTATTTAAGATAACAGGAACTAAAATATTTTAAATAAAAATAATAAACATAACCTATTGTAGTTTATTAACCTATTATCCGATTATAATAACTCCCTTGAACTATATATATTGTCCTGATAAGGAGGCCCCATTTCATACTCCAGCCAAGGACCCTAAATGGAGCCTAGCTGGGCCCTGGACTTGCACCCATTTTGTTCTAAGGTGCAGATATATATTTTATTATTAATTTTATTTCGCATAATAGTCTAGTACTATTGGCTTAGAGTTAAAATAAAAACAAAAACTTATATTAAACAAAAATTAATTATGAAAACAGTTATAAAACTCTACTTTTAAAATATTTGTATAATTATCAATTTTACTTGCATAGTTTCATAAGAAGATTATTCTGTTGTGTTTAATTCACTTTGTTCTGTTAACTGAATTAACTGAAAGGATTTGTATTTTTAACATTTTCAGCCGGACTGTTTAAATTGATCAAATTTGGGCTTTTGTTCATCGACTTTTCCCTTTCTTTCCTTTTTTGTACCATTCTGTTGTGAATTCTTTTCATCTCTAGAATTTCTTTCATTTCCTCTTTATCTTCCTCCTATAAAAAATAAATAAAATTATTTATAATCATAACATAGCAATTTGATGTATTGATTATTAACTTAGTTTTCTAGTAGTAATTTTTTTAAATACTGATAAATTATTCTCATGAAAAACAAAATAAATTGAATATATATGTCTCTTTGTTACTTCATTTTCAGTTTATAATAACTTGTTCTGTAATTAATGATATTTTAGTCTGGATAGTCTCTTTTGCACCTCTTTCATTCAGTCATTGTGGATGTTTGTTAATTTTTGTTATGTGATTATTGTTCGCAGAGTTCAAGCTATATACCTTTCAATTTTATGTCTGTATGTCTTCAATTATCAGTAGAAATTCCTATAGAGCCACATAATATTTAATTTTTATATTTGTATGTTATTAATTATTATATTTAAAATGTCTCTGAAATGTATGATTGGTAAAACCATCAATGTACCAGCTATAAATAATAATGCCACTGATTTTTCAATGGCTGTTACTTTTATTCGGTACAAAGCTGTATGTTATGGAATTATATTTTAGTATTACTGAGTGATAGAACTTTATTAGAATTAAGTAGTATTTTGAAGAAAAAAAATATTGAAATTAAGAAAAAACACCCTTCTTTTTACAGTCTCATTTATGTTTAGGAGCTTTCGCTGCTGCACCATCATCATCTAAAAATATTCTTAAATACACATTAAATTAGAAAATATATATAACATACATATGTAAATATAAATATATAACCATACAATGAATTAGAAAAGTTATACATTAAATTTGTTAAATGTCACTAAGGAATCTGCCTATATTTTCACATACCTTTACAATACTCATTCAATCCATTTTTGGATTTCGTTCTTAGTATAAATTTATCGATCATTAAGATTGGTGTCTAAATTTACACCAAAAAAAAAAATGTTTGGTATTTTCTATCTGTAAGTTAAAAGACAAAATAAAGAAAAATTGTACAAATCATGGTGTAATAGGTGATTGTGTGTGGTGTAGGGGTATATATATGAATATATGTGTGGGTATGTCAGATGTATATACATGTTTTTTCGCTGTACTCAGGAAGATATGTATATTTTTAAGTAAATTCTTGATTCTGGTTAATTAAAAGAGACTGGATTATAACACTCAATCACCTATTTCACCATGAACTTCACAATTTTTTTTATTTTTTCTTTTAACTCAGATCGAAAGCCCAAAAAAAATTTTTTTTGTAAGTTTAGACACCAATCTTAATGATTGATAAAATTTATACTAAGAACGAAATCCAAAAATGGATTGAAAGACCATTGTAAAGGTATGTGGAAATATAGGCAAATTCCTGAGTGACATTTAACAAATTTAATGTAGAACTTTTCTAATTTATTATATGGTTATATGTATATTGTATATTTATTCTTCATTTATATATGTGTATTGTTCATATTTTCTAATTTAATGTGAATTTAAAAATATTTTTAGATGAATTTAATGCAGAGTACCGAAAGCTCCTAAACATACGAGATTGTAAAAATAAGGGTTTCTTTTCTTACTTTCAATATTATTGCACAATCTACTTATTAAATGTAAACAAATTATTTTGAATATTAAATTGAATAGCAGAATTTTATGAAATATAATTCATGAAATTTGTAAAGAACAGATTGTAAAATAGCAACCATTCAATATTAGCAGTTGTTAATTAAGAGCTAAACTAAATTAAGAATTTAGAAATAGCAGACTTAACAAGCATATTAGCTGATCAATCCTGATAACTTATCATTTGCATTTTAACAAAATGATAACCAGTATGACAGATATTCAACCTTTGGGCTGCTAATTCAACTGCCAAAGATTTTTTTTAAACAGTTTCAAATTTATATTTTTAGTTTCTCCAATAAATGAGTAAGACAAATTGAATGCTTATATCATTATATGCCATTGTAACCATGTAAATTGTTAATGGAAATAAAATATACACTGATTGTGCTTATGATTTTTAAAATTATAAAATAATCAATATACCGATTGGTTTAGCCTCAGTACCAGCGCTCTTCTTCCATCTGACATAGGCTGTGAGTACCACATTAGTTTAGTTAACCTCTCTGATGGACTTACTCCTCTTTCAACCACTAATACTATTCTGGCCCACTACATTAAACACATTATATAAGCATTTAAATTATTAGATATTATTTGATATAGAAAGATGTTATGAAAATTGCAGAACATAAGTTATAATTTTTTTTACATATTTAATCTCTTGTTAATTACATGAGTATATCGATGCATTTAAAAACTTTGATTCTCAACTACCGTCTAACTCCATAAATTGATAAATAATTTTAGTTTAATTTTCATAAATATATTCTATGCATATTTGAATTTAAATTCAAATGTATTTAAATTTATTAGTTATTAAATAATACATAGGTCTCATACCTGTCTCTGCCATTCATTTCTTGTTTCAGCTATTTTTTGATAAGTATTTCCCATCATAGCAATTAACATATTAACCAGTAGAATTGCTACTATTGCCATGTATATCACAAAACAAAGCTGAAAAATAAAATATAGCATACTAACTTTCTTATGTCGTATTTTATATAACATAATATAACTTTTTATACTAACTTATATAACATAATTTTTAACTTTTTAATAGTGCAATATTACCCAGAACCTAGCTTACCCAACAATAGTTTTGGAATCCAGCATTTACTTGGCACCCAGTTGTAATTTCTGATTAATATCCTGATCGAGCTAATCTTTTCTAACAAAATTTTCTGGGTATCCGGTGATTCATAACATAATATCAGTTTTACCAATTGGATATTTTTTTTTTAGTTAATTGAATATAAGTTATTTTTATTTAAGTAACAATTTTAATTCCACTGCATGTAATCATGAATTTACAGCCCCTCTGATTCATACATTATCTGGAGTCACAACTTTCTCAAAGTTGTATCTGCCAACATGAACAGTTTCATCAATTTGAAGGTTCTCAGTTATAATAAAGAACATAATTTAATTTTTATATTAAGGAAAATATCACTGAGTGCCAGTTGTTTCAATGACCTTATTACTTAATGCAATACCTGGAAAATTCCATATCTGGTTATTGTCCATTATCCAGTACCCAGAAAAGCCCATAACTTGTTATTAACCTGAAACCGGTACTCCCTAAAATCAACTACCCATCAAAAAACCATGAACATTGTGTTTTGAGATGACTTTTCATGAATACAGTATCGTTTTTGCTCTTTGAAATATCAGTTTTATTTATTATTTTATGAAAGTAAATCACAAGCTTTGTGATTTTTTTTTTTTCATCTTTATAAAGTATAAGTGCAAATAATAATTAATACAAATTTACCTGTGCACATCACTCTAAGTATTGCTGAATGAGGATATTGGTTCAATATAAATATCAATAAATCAACTCTGAACAATTACATGTAATCATAATATTGTTTTTATTTACCTTAGCACAGAATTCATGAGCTGTCCTTTCTAAAGCTGGATAGTAATCGCCAAAACTTGTCATTGACATAAAAAACATTGCCATGACTGCTTCCATTGGGTTCGGAATAGGATTACTTACAGAATCATCCACTCCTTCGGGTGTCAGTGGGTTATCAAATGACAGGAAAATGATATAATATGCTGTAAAAAAAAGCATTTTTGTTTTAACTTTAACTGAAAACTATGATGATATAATATATTCAGTAATACCTTGAGCAAACCCCATCACAAAGACAAGATATATTGTAGCAAATCTCAACAAGTCTCCCATTATCATCCTATATATCATCACAACAAATGGACCAACGGTCTTGAAACCTCTAAAAAATATATTTTTTAGTGTTCTAAGTTTCAATGAATTTTTGTTACGAAGGTTGAAATATTTCCTATTTACCTGCAGAAAAACAGAAAATAAGGAGCAGTGGTGAGCATTATAATAACTGCCATCATGTCTTCTATTTCTTCATTGCAGGTAAATCTTAAAAATGGCATCGTTAGCATCAAACAGCATGAAAACAAAAACATAACTCTTGAAGGAGCAGTCATCTAGAGAGGAAATGATTTAAATTTGAACCTGTTTCAGTTTCTAACTACATACATATATTATTTTATTAAAAATTGTATCACTGATTTGAAAGAAGTCTGACCAGCACATACAAAAATTAAAATAAAAAAATATAGAGAACATGGGTGTAGCCAGCATTTGTAATTTGCTGATTATTTTATATATTGTTTATTTAATTGTTTATATATTTTTGAAGGAAGTATAAGAGGTAAATTTACAATTTTTTATCATAACATTATTTATAGTAACTCAATGTATTTGAGTATTGCTTAAATTAAAAAAATTTCTCTCTGTACATAGTCTTAAAACTGTAAAATATTTAATAGCATAATAATTATTTATTGAAAGTAAAAACCCAAAATTTTTAACTTTAATAAAAACTATGTTACTATAGTACTTGAGACATCAGAAATTATATTTCTTTGAGCTATCATTATTGTTTGGTTAAAGTACCTATGCACAGGTAGGTAATTCTTTAATTATGCAGATCATCAAAAAAGTTTTTAAAAATGATTATCCGATTTACTAATGGAAAACTCTAAAAAAGTACTCATATGTATCTGATCACTTAATTATACAATTAGTTGATCATTTTGTTTTTTCTTGGATTTTGCAATAGCAAAAAGGGTAATAATTAATGGTTTGGTTATTTTTGAGAGATTTCAAAACAGAAGACTGAAGCTTAACATTCTTCAATAAATTATTTGAATATGTATCACCAGGACTAAAAGTATTACTACTAAATAGCTGTTGTTGTTTAGGGCTTAGAGGTGTAAAACCCAGAGGTCATCAATGCCTAATATTTTTTTTTTTATTTGTTTATTTAGAAATATTACATTCTGTCACATCAAGGACATTTATAATAGTGTTCAGAGAGCACACTCACACTCTATTTACAATAATAAAAATAAATAATACAGAAACTTAATAATAATAAATACAATAAAATAAAATAAATGTATATAAACAAAAGAACTAACCTAATCATACACACTCGGGCTTGAGTGGAGGATCTGGCTATTGCCAAAACTCCAATAGATGCTTATTTACAGAAGGTCTCTGGGTCACTGCCGCTTCAACCTTCGAGGAGGATTGTAAGGATGGGTGGTGTTGGATAGAGATTGTGCAAGGGGATTTGGATGATAGGTAAGGTTCTGGTGAAATTTGGAGAATTTTTCTGGAATAAGGTCTAGGACAAATGGGATATTAAGGTCATGGTGTAGGATTTTGTTAGTTACATAGAACGGAGCATCAACTATTGTTTAATGCGTATATACACATATACACTATATATATATATGCGTATATACATATATACACTACAGCACAACAACTCGTCACTGAGTCCGGGCCCCCTCAAGTAGTTTTCACCAGATGGCCCTATATTCAGCAGCAGTCCTCCAGTCCCGAACACCTAGAAGAGTCCTTGCATCCTCAGTCACACCATCCACCCACCTCACGTTCGGTCCTCCCACTATCCTCGTCCCTAAGATCTCTTCTGTGGCCCCTTTCTTCGTTATCTCACCATTGTCCATTCTGGCTAGATGGCCAGCCCATCTAAGTCTTCTCAGTTTTATGACTTTGGAGATATCGATATCTTCAAAGAGCCCATACAATTCCCTTCTCAATATTCCCCTTTCGAACACCAAGAGCCGTTTTTCATCCCCCTTGTTAATGGCTCATGCCTCCGATCCATAAATTACTAATGGACGGACCACAGTTTTGTACAGGCTGATTTTTGTCTTCCTTGAAAGATACTGGCACCTGAAGTTATTGGATAAGTTGTAGAAGCACCTGTTAGCGGTTACTATCCTATGCTTAATTTTTTGGGAGATATCATTTTGGGAGTTTATCTCGCTTTCCAAGTAGACAGACAAAGCTATTGACTACCTGGAATCTGAATTGAAAATAATCTGCGTTATGATATTTTAAAATTATGATTGAATAGTAATGGAATGGACGAGACTCAATGTTCTTAATTTAATTTATTTATGTTGAGACTGTAATTTATTCAGATTCGAACAAAGATGTTCTTGGTTATTTTTTTTAAATTGCTGAATATTTCTAACAATACCAAAATTGGCCTGTCAATATGGTTTCGAATTCTTATTATAGCAAACAGCAAACCCATGCAACAACTAACCCATACTTCTTTATTTATATTACCAATCTTGTAAAACGCAGTCGTTTGAAAATTATATTTTAGTTTCACATTAAATATAATTACAAGTAATGTTTTAATCTTAATGATGCCTGGAATTTCCAAGCGTTCACTTGGAATTAGTTATTATTGAGACTTTTGTTATGTAATTTTCCATAAATAACATCTTATTTGTGTTTTGTTCTCGATTTTCATGATGAAAATTATTATAATTACCAAATTCTCCACAAACATGCTCCATCCTAGAAATCTCGCTTCTCTCAATGCTGCTAATATGTATAGCAAAGCTCCGATGTCCAACAAGACTTCTGATATAAGGCGGGTCATTTCAATGTAGGAAGTGACCTGAAGTAATCTGCATTGTCCAAATTCTTCCCACCAAGTGTCGTCATAATCCTGAAAACTATCTGTATTCAAATATTGTAAAAGTTTATTCATTTTCCTTAAGCTAAATGCTTACTAGTTGATTTTTGTTGCTTGTTTAGAATTAATTGTTTTTGCTTCCACACTAACGAAGATATGGAAGCTTTGCATTTTTAACAGGTCAACTGATGGCTATTTAACTTAAAAAAAACTCAAAATCTGTAGTTTTATCTCTTTACAAACAAATTAATTAACTAATTATTATGTATAATCTTTCATTAATTGTATACTTTTTGAGTTATGGGAAAATAAAATTTGTTTTTCTTCATTAATTAACTGTATGACTTTTCTTGGGATGTGCTTACTTTTTGCAACTAAAGGGAAAGATAATCTTCAAAATTATGACTGTATCATTGGATTTGATGAAGAATTAACAAAAAGATGGCATGCCAACACAAACACTTTGAAAGATAATGAATATGTATATATATATATATATATATATATATATATATATATATTGCATAATTAGTTTAATTTAATATTAATGGCTTTTGATGTCAACAGTTATATTTAATGGCAAATGTTATTCGAAAAATCAAGATAGCCAACATGTAGAGTTTGTCAGCATTTTTAGTATTTGAGTTTAAGGTTAATTTATATTTGTTCAATCTGCTAAAAATTAACTACAGTGCACAGGAGTGCCCATCCTCCCCAAGGTCGATGGGGCAAGAACCAATTCCCGTCTCCTAAAATATTTTATTGTTCACCTCTCCTTAAAATCAGAGCAAGGGAAGGTAGAAATAGAAAAATCCTGGATTATATATAATTACACTTTCTGCGGTATGTTACATGTTTTCTTCTTGTTCCTTAGTATAAAACTTTTCATTCCAAAAATTTATAACCCCGCCGAAATGTGTCTCTTCAAAAATTCAAAAACTCGCTAAAATATGCTCCCCTCAAAAATTTTGATGGCACAAGCTGTGCAGACTGCAAGTGTTATCAATGATATGATCATATTGTTCTGTATTGAGAGTGTCTATTTAAATTCATTTACACTCTAAACATAGAACAATATGACCATAATATTACCACGTTAATGTGAAACAAACATTGCAATTATATTTTGGTTAAACGCAAGGCTTTTATTGTATGTTTAAAGAATAATCTAAATTATAATTTATTGACAACAAATATTAATAAATTATTAAATTTATTTATTGTTCTTTTTAATAAAGACTCCCTGAAATACGTACCATTATTAAGTATACATTTGATATTGAGATCAAAGCTTGTACTGTAATAGATAAATGAATTAGTTGATTGCCATCTTCATTATTTTTAGGTATATTATACATTATTAAATCAATATTATTACATAATTTATAATTTCTTCTTTTCCGGAAGATTAATTTCATATTCAGAAAAAAACAAAACACAAAATGCATGGCTTAATTAACACTTCTTTTATAATAATATTATTATATTGTATGAAATAGGATATTCTATTATCAACATCCTAATAATTTAATTTACAAAGTATTTTTATTTACTAAATTTTATATGAAAAAATATATGTTTTGAATAATTTTTGAACAACTGATATAAGCATGATTAGTAGGAGATTTCATTGTGATTTAAATTTTTTTTTTATTTTGAACTAACTCTAAGCTAGGATTTCATTAAGTGAAGTTATGACACAAAAATAAATATAAATTAATATGTATAAAAAACATAATTTTTATAATCTATTTTTAATATAATTTTTTTTTTTGGCTCCGTTAATCCTTTAACACTTCATTAGGTAAGGTAACTTTTTATTTCCCAATGATGACTCATTTTTTGTCTGAATAAAGGTGCATTTAGACATTTCACAAACTATGGCAAACACAACCAACAAACAGGAATATTATTGTTAAACCAAACTATTTATTTTATTTCTCTTAACTTAATATGGACAGAAGATGGAAAATATCAAAAACAAGAAACTTAAATTCTAGCAAAGCACTAGCGTATCTAATTTAATTTTAGGAGGGCTTCAGCCTGAAAACTTTTTTTTTTCACAAAAATGATGATAATTTGTTTGGAAAAAAAGAAAGAAACTAACTATCTATATGAAGTGGTGTTTAAGTGATTCCTTAAGTCCTTTTAAATGTAATTACACGAACAATAATACTTTAAGAGATAATTTTTTAATATATTTTTCCATAAAACATGGTTATATTATACCATTTTGGGGGAGTTTCAGCCTGAAAGCTTTCCCCCTCTGTCACCCCCCCCCCTGTAGATCCTCCCGTTAGCAAAGTGAAATGACCAATTATATATTTGTTTGTCCCATAGTTCATAAAATATCTAAATACAACTTTATATTGATAAGAAACATGGTTATGTTTTAACTAGAAATGCCTTACAAATCAGCTCAACAATGCAGGTGATATAACCATAATAAACAAAACTAAAATTTCTTACTTTTTTTTTTTACAAATGAAAATGAACAATATGAACTTACAAAATCATCGGCGGAGGCTCCAGGTTTTGGTACTTTTGGGCTCTTGCCTTTTCCAAATACAGCAACAACATCAGATCCATTTCCTAAACAGGAATGAACAGAATCGCCATTGCAAACCAATCCATCTGCATCTTCCCTGGAATTGTCTTGCGGCTCTGCATTTGAAAAAGAAACTACTTTATCAATATCTTCAACTTTCAAAGATGTCAAAATGACTTCACGTAATATTACATTAAGTCTGCTGTTTTGACTACTGTTGTCTTCGGGATCATACTTTTTAATTTCTGTTTTGTAAATCCATTTTGGAACAGTAGTTGCATTGCTTTCTGGCGACAATTCAGCAGTAATGTTATTTCCGCTGGGTTTGGTACTGTTGAAACTTGATATTGGTTTAACTGGTGGAGGTCCAGGTCGTAGAGTGAAACAAATAAGCGAAATCAAGAAGTAAAAGAGAAATAAGAAAAACTGTCTATAAAACCTAGAAAAATCAAACAAAAAACACACTTAAGTACTGATCAATACAACATTCCAAATAATTTTATCATTTTATTTGTTCAATACATTGATTGAATGTACCTAAATTTTACAAAGGCATTCCATTTTGCGTTTAAAAGGTCGATCAGGACACCATCCATAAGTTCCAAATGTTCATCCTTTTCCTGAAACAATTTTCTTTGTTTAGATTCAGATTTTTTTCATACTTTATAGTTAAATACAATACTTATCGTTACTAACGCCAAAAACGACAAGATTTAAAGCAGAATTTTTGCTGATGTTTCCAGTCACAATATCAATAGTATCGATTTGTGAAAGTGGGTAAGCTGCACAAGTTATGCTGCCTGAAAAAAAAAAAAAAAAAAAAAGAATTACAATATAGATAAGATTGTGTATATTTTCAATTTAAAATTAATTAACTTTTTATAGCGAATTTTTAATGAATATAATGATTTTGATTCATCAATATCATAAGTATTCCAGAAATAGACGAACAATTGCGAGAGGTAATAAAAGAAAAAAAAAAACAGATGCAAGATTTTTCACATAAAATTACCAAAAATGAAGAACGGAAACCAAATTTACTCTAGTCTCGTAAATATACTAGAAAATCAAAAACAAAATTCTTGTTTGTAGTCATAAAACATTATTCATATCGCTACTGTTAGTGCAAAAGGTGGTATGTAAAGATTTTTCATTTTTATTCTATTTGTGCTAAAGTCGAACATTTGGTAGCATGCAGTTGCTATAAGTAATCTGCTACCAAGAAAAATAGCAGAAATAAATAAAGTATGAAATTATACTTATAAATCATAAAGATATCAGTTTAAATGTTATCCTTTATAACACCCAAATTTTATATACGATCGTTTGCTCTAACAGTAGCGATATAAATCAAACTAAGAACCGGATTATTAAAGGTTTTTTTCTACCATGAATATTTTTTTTCGTCAGCGATGCGACACAAAAGAATATTTAAAACAAAAATTGATGGCATGTTTGATGGAGTAGTTATCGTGAAATTAATTTGTTGCTTAGTAATAGTTTTAGAACCGATAAACTAATTGAAAGTTCAAAAAAGATCGAGTCTAATTTTTAAAATGATTTGTCGATGTACGTTCTACGAGATGTATTTTATGAATTGGGCCTCCTAGTCTCAGTTCATTCAATGGTCGGTTGCCAGCGATTAAGCCTTGCCGTTGCATGTTTATGTTTGTGCCAAAAATGGTTTGAAGTTCCCTCGTTACGATGAGTGGTGGGGGCAGATTAGAGGATCTAAATGATAATACTTAAGCCTCAAGAGCTGCTGGTTTTCTCGGTCACTTCTCCACTACCAGCCAATCTGGACACACCACCACTGGACCTGAGGGTCCTCAAGATAACCAAACGATGTAAGCTGTTATAAAGACGGTAAGCTATTTTTTGCACAATCAGTATACCCTATCAATCCATTAAGATACAGTCCACTGCATATAATTAGAGTGTTGCCCATAATTTTGAATGTTGTCTTATTGAACTCATGAGAGTTATTTGCCTTAATTAGAAAAGTTGCCTAAACATTTTGAGGTGGATAAGAGGTTTGCCTTGACCGCAAGCCTTGCACAGTGGACCGTTTTAGCAATTTAATGGGACAAAAATCTAAATGTACTTATATGAAAAAATACGAAATCTTTATAAGGTAACTGATCATCATATAGAGAATGAGACATTATGTAATCAAAAATTAATTTGTTACATTTTTCTTTGGACACTTATTTTAAATTAATTTTGATTAGTTCTTCTTATTTCGATAAACAATTTTTAAAAAAACCAAAAGTATGTGCTTTAGACTACAGGATAGAAATAAAAACACCAACAAGGCTAGATTAACAATATTAAATATAAATTATTGAAAAACTATTATACTCACGACTATTAGATATACTAACAGACAAACAGATTATTCCTGACCATCAATTCGGGTTTCGAATATTACATTCAACAACACAACAATTACACAGGGTAACTGACTACATATCGACAGCACTAGAGCGAAAACTATATGCAACCGGAGTATTTCTGGATGTCGCCCAAGCTTTCGACAAAGTATGGCATCAGGGGCTTCTCTTCAAACTTAAGACCATACTCCCACCAACCTACTACTTAATTCTTCACTCCTTTCTCTCAGACAGATTTTTCTCCGTTCGACATGGTTCAGGTATATCCTCAATTCGACCTATTTTAGCTGGCGTACCTCAGGGGTCAATCTTAGCCCCATTACTATACATCACATACACACACGACATTCCTCAAAGTATCCACACACTTACAGCAACCTACGCAGACGACACTGCTATCATTACTAGACACGATAATCCTACACAGGCATCACTTAACCTACAACATCACTTACAAAAAATAAACGATTGGTGTAAAATATGGAAAACTCATATAAATTATCAAAAGTCACAACACATCACGTTTACTCTAAGACTAGAAACATGCCCTGCTGTATACTTAGACAACATACCGATTCCACAAACAGATAGAGTACAATACCTAGGCCTGACGTTTGACAGAAGAATGACATGGGGTCCACATGTAAAGAAAAAACGTGCATCATTAAATCACAGATTAAAACTATTGCATTCATTATTAAGACGACATTCGAAATTAAAAGCAAGACAGAAATTAAATATTTATACATACCTATTAAAACCTCTCTGGAGTTATGGACTTCAAATATATGGAATTGCAAAACCAACACACATAAAACGACTTCAAACTTTTCAATCTAAGATACTACGACTAATTACCCAAGCACCCTGGTACGTGAATAATAACACTTTACACACTGACTTACACGTGCCAACGATCAATGAACACATACGAACTTACTACAAACGATTTCATAATAAATTACATGGACACTCCAACCAGCTAATTAAAGAAATGGCCACGACTATTATGCCGGAGAACTCCAGAAGACGACTGAAAAGGGTCTGGATGAGGGACCTACTTACGTAATTGTATGTAAGTAAGTAAAAGCCATGGAAAGGATGCCGCTGGGTATTGCTTTTCCTCATGCCTATCAAGCCTTTTTATTATTATTTTCTCATGACTGTGCCAGCACATCTGCTGATTGTCAATAGTTATAATTGACAAGTGCGGATAAATATATGTAAGTGCAAAAAAAAAAAATATAAATTATAAATAATAGCTTAATATAAAGAGGATGAAATGCTTAACATTTCCCTCGCTTACAGCATGCAGGCCCGATTTTTAGTTTCTGAGATATTTTATTCCATATCTTTCATAAAACTCGTTACCATTTGGTTTTCGAATTATTTTTTTCATTTTCGCTTCTCTAACACGGCGTAGCGTTAACATACAATTTTGAATAATATTCCATGACAGAGAGGATGGAATGCTAATTTCTAAATGGCGGCCGAAAAACGTGAAACGTTATGAAGAAAGGTGACAAAATGGCTGTAACAATTTTAATGAAACTTGGTTTTCATTAACTTGGTTAAAAAGTTTTCTCCTTGAAACCCTTTTAATTCTTGTTACAACATACTTCCCTGAAAATAAAATAAAGTAACCATGGACTGAAAATTTTATTTGGGAATAACTCGATAAGTACACCATTTTTGATTAATTAAACTTATGGGTTTTTAAAGATACCTAAATTCTCTACCAAATGGAAAAAAAAAAACTCGTCGAAATCGAAAAGAACCGTATCCAATAAGATATTTTTTTTCTGGTTTATTTTTTTTAGGAGCGCTTTATTATAACAAATTTATATTTGGAATGTGGCTATAGTATGAGTGCAATGTTGAATCGAAAAATTTTTTACTGACCAAAATAATAATGTAGGTTCAATTATTTTTAAGGAGAAAAAAAGAGATTCTCACCTGAAAAAAAAAAAGAACTCTAATACAAAATACAACTTTATAGCCTAAAATTTTCATCGAATGAGCAAAGTGAGTTCAAATATTTTTCAATATTTACAAATAGCAGTTTGACATTTGCTAATTTGTAATGAATTGAGTAATTTCCTATCATTTTACACATGTTGTTTCTTTTTTTTATTTAACAGGTTAGCTGCGGTTACGGTCCTCGGGCTCCGATATTTGTCTCGATTACCAAACGGCCGAGATTGTTTCGAATTTTGTTTATCTTACGATGTCTCTATAATGGTAATTTTTAAAAATATTTGAATGGGAGTTGGATGGATGTAAAGATACCAGCGTAAATAATCATTATATCTGATAAAAAGTTGTCGGACGCCGAGGACCGATACAAAAGTACCGACTGATAAAAATTGATTTCTCTACTATATCACCCCCTCCCACCCTCTCCCCGCGTCCGATACATATACATTATATACGGCGTCAGATGCCATGGCAGTACAGTGCACAAGCATGGTCTTATTACACGGTGGGCCAGACCCCCTTACCGTGCACCCTCCCCCCCACATCCCTATAAATTGCATATCGTTGTGTTCCTTGTAACTATTTATTAAAAAAAAGCCAATGTCCAAGCCAATGTGGCCAAAAAGCCCACAAAAAAAAGTGAACGCACTGCCCCAAAATGGCGTCCAAAGATGGCGGATTGACGACTTTGACTTTAGTTAGTTTTTTGGTCACTGAGAATCAGCATTTGGTTTAATGTCCTCATAGTTGCTCTTTTATTAAACCTGAATAGTTATAGAATAATAAAACATGAAGAAATATTTAAAAATAATTGGCTTAGGCTATGAAAAACACCAGTAAAGTCAATTTTTTTAACAAAAAAATTTTCAAGTTACAAATCAAGCGTCGTTTGTAATTAAACGGCCTACAATAACGCAAAACGTGCTGAAATAAACCATCTGGAGAATATATTTCTCTTTCTAAAACGCTGATTATTTTTTACAAATGTTTAAACAGTTCCGTAGAAAATACACTTATGCGGCAGAAAAGCGGTACTGGCGTGGGTGCCTACAGGCCTCTACCACACCATTCAGTGCCCATAAATGCCTTAGTTATAGTGATATAATAACATTTTTGGTACATTATATTGGTTTAGTTAACGAACAAATATTAATGCAATAATTTAAATGTAAAAAAAAAATTAAAATTTAAAAAAAAAATTATTATTATTTTTTTTTAATTTAACCTCCTTTATTCTTTACGTAGGTCGTTTAAGAAGACCTCAATTGTAAAAATGATATAATTATAA